ATTTTTCCTAGTTTACATTATATTGATATGATATTAATAGGAAAATGATACTGATTTCAATGATATTGTCGACATCTTGAGTTCGGATATGAAAAGGAGTTGGGGTGAGAAAACATATGGAATCATTCCCTCGGTGTCATGGAAAGTTGCTTCGGTCCTCTCCTTTTGCAAAGTTCACATGGTTTATGATGGTCTGTGGCGTTGAAAATGGTGTTGAATCCGGTAGAAGAACGGAGGTCGAAGGAACAGTTCTTGCCCACTAGTTTAGTCCTACTCCTCCACGTAGCATGAAGCCGATCGACATAGAACGAAGCCATTAACTTGCTTGCACTGAATAGTCTGCGTTTCTTCAACGGAGAAACAAGTATTGTACTCTATGTCCTTGGCACGAGCATATTTGCCGTATTCTCGCGCAGGTTTCGGGTATTAGAATTTCGCCGCGTGTTCAACCTGTACGAGTGATTGAGTGCATAATAACCCTACGTTACATGTACTTCCATGATCCTTGGAGTGAAAGAAGTGTACAGCAAAAAGGAAAGGAACAAATAACGTGCTTAAAACAAAAATATAACAAGGTAGACATGTTACAATTCTAGATATAAACTACAAAATTAATATTATTTTTTATTTTTTTACTCGCTGTTGTTTAAATTTTTACAATAAAATCTTTAGATTATGAAAATTTTTGACTTTTTTATTACAAGCATATATGAGATTTTATTCTTATAATTTCAAGATATAAAATTTGGAAGGATAGAAGAGATAAGAATTAGGAAAATATGTAAGAGTATGTTGATTTTAGATGATTATCTTTCATACATTGTGAGAAGATATTTTACTAGAACATAAAAATGACTAGACCAATTTTCTTCAATTTGATATTCCTTTTATACTATATAATCTGTAAATTCAAAACCTAGAAAGTTAGACAACAAGAGATAGAACAGATTTAATGTATAATTATTTTTCTTGTATCATAGCAATAATTTATTACTTTTATTCTATTTCTTGTTTCTCTTTCTCTTGATATCAAAATAAACATTAGGGAGCGGCTAGTTATCACTCACTTAAGGCTAATTAGCCCTCACTCTACTCCAAGCTCTTCTCTCATTGAAAGATGTAGGGTTATAGGGTTCTCGGATGAGTAGCAATCAGGGTAGTGTGTCCGACCAATCAAAAAATCGAGTATACTAGGATGAGGGCTAATTAGCCCTAAGTGAGTGATAACTTGACTTCCACTTTTTTATGGTCAACATTTAAGTAACATGAGTGTTATGTAGTGTAAGGATATACACACCATGCAATATCTTGCTTATTGTCATTATGTTTTAATTTCATCTAAGATATGTTTGGAGCTAATCTTAATATGTCAAATACAAGTTGATCTTTTATGAAGAAAAAATTCGTGTTTGATGTATTTCACAAATATAATTACGTAATCAATGAGGTTGAAAGATCACTTCAATGTTGCATATCAAAAGGATTAGGGCAGTAAATAATTTGAAAATCTTATCAAATGGATCATATCATAGGACTCATAAGCATTCAAATCATTATATATTGTTAAGACAAACATCCGAAATTCAATCTTTTTTTATTGTGTAAACAAAACTAGACACTCTTTGTTTAAGACGTCTCAATATGATCTCATGAATGCATAGATAAACATGATATTAGATTATTTAATTTCCGAAATGTTATTGTCTTCATTATCTTAACAGAAAAAGAGTGTTGGACATATTTAAGTGATTGCTAAACTCCAATACTTCACAGTTGAGTCACATTACATGAAGAATTTTTATGCATTACACATGTTATGAACCAGGTACAATCACAAAGATGTTCATGTTTAGATTTATTGCGACAACATATATGATATTAGGACATATTGAGGAGTATAATATAATATTCTAAGACCTACATATTGAGCATCAATACCACATATTCCTTTATTTACAATTTCATCATTCTCTACCATCTTTGATGAGATTATCATGAACTTTTTGATGATTAATCAAATGAAATACTTCTAAGTGTGTCATTGGGTTTTTGATAAAATGAAGATTTGTTTTTCACTTAATAAATTTAGGATAGATTAAAGGTATATGTGATATTTATCTAGCTTGTTACTCTTGATAATTTTATTCATTTCCTTGTTTGTGTGTACAAATAAACACATATTTAAGATATATATGTAACTCACATGCATCTCTGTTATCAATAAGCTATACACATAAGCTGTATGAAGTTTAGTTATCTGATATTATGTCTGAACCGGATGGTTTGTTTCTGTTGTTAGTAATTGTGCGTCCGTCTGACCGAGAGTCATATGCAAAGGAAGATGATTCTGGCTGGTAAAGTCCGACAAACTTGGTGTTTCAACAGGGAGTTCGTACTTGCTCCCATCGCCTGTAAGCAACGATCAGAATGAGGAAGAAGTGGTCTCGAAAAGCAGCAAAGTGGAGATCGTATGTTTGAGAGTGGAAGTTTGCCAAAATAGCAGACGGGTAGTTTAGGCTCTACGATTTGACTGGATAGTAAGGGCAGGCATCGGGGTTTCAATGGTTTGGCTGCTCTTGTCAATGTGGGCGGTCCCTTGCGTACGTTGACAATAAGTGGACAGGGGAAGTCCGATTCCACAGGGGGTGGAGTGACATATGGAGGCGGGAAACCGAAGATGAGGGCGATATATCGAGCTAGGACAAGAAGTCAGGGGCCAGGATTGCTGTCTACGTCTGGAAATGGACACGAGGAAAGTGGTGTGATCGGAGGCGGAGTGTCTACAAGTCTCCGAAATTAAAAGCATCTGACAGAAATGAAAAACGTCGGGCAGTAGCGGCCGCAAGGTTTTCGCACGATCGATGGGGACTCAAGTACACTGAACGCAACAAAATTTTGGAGGTATGGTCCAAGCAAACAAGTGGGGCGGTCCTCGCATGTGCAACAGAACCGATGCTTTGTGTTTAGGATAAAATAAAAATTTACTTTGAGTAATGAAAATATACTGTCATTTTTCTCTTTACCATGGATAAACCAAAATTCTATCGCGTAAAGTAATGGACAGCTCTTGGATGCATATTTGAGTATTTGGCTTCTCAGTGCATCATAGATTTTGACTAGTACCAACTGTCTTATAGCAATGAGGTTTTGTGATGACTTTGTACACCATAGCTTCATTACTTATTCGTAAATGTTATTATTTACTGAATTCTTATAACACGATATCATTGATTATGTGCTATTTGCTATGTGGTTGAAATGATTGAATCTGGTTGATGTCGTTTTTATGGTTTGAATTGTGACTTCGCCTGAACACATTGTGGTTATAAATAATATGCACGATACTCTATTGATTACATTCTTCTGTAGATAGCGGCAACAGTAACGAATGTCTTGAGGATAGTAGTACACATGGAGTTATTCGGAGCTATGTACGCAAACATTCAAAACTTTTCCAATATGATTTGTAAAAGCGGTTGTATATATATATATATATATATATATATATAGTTTAAGCTCATTCATACACACATATTGATTCGTAATGCATTAAAACGTAATCAATATATATATGGATGGTAATGGATTTAGCCGCATCCTATCCATTGGTCTCATCCTTGGATGCCTTAGACGCCTGACGGAGAAAACCAGGTAACTGCTGTACTCGGTTTGATATATGTTCTCTGCTAGGTTGGAAGGAAACGTTAGTGGTGGGTTTGAACCTTTCACGGTTCTTCGCAACGCAAATTCGACTTATCGAGCTTGATGTACCTTGAGGATTCCGTAGCCGGTCTCCAGAATATCTACAATTGCTTACAATGAACACGAACCATCTGTCCAACCCTGTCAACTATGCAAGTAGTCACGACGTGCTCAAAAGATCGACTGCAATTTCGTCATACGACCAACGACCCTCTTGAGTCACTGCACATTGTGTTCCTTGATAGAGACGCGTGGTTGAACATGACTGTACGTAACTTGACTCATGCGTTGTGCGTTTTACGCAGAATCTCCAATGGGCATAGAAAGTGGAAGATTCCCGTGACACGCCAGATTGTCATCCTCTGTCACCTGCTATGGCCCTGGTTTTCGCATCGCCACAATTCTATTCTATGAAGACTACCAGCTGACGTTCAACAGACTTCACACATATCACAGGTGGGGTATAAACTATTGCTGTTTTAAACCTGTAACTTCGTCCGTCAAAAGGAGCGACCCACTAGATTTGATCCATGATTGATGGCATAAGGGTCCTAGATTGGGATTGCCAGTCTCCACCGACTCATTGCAACACATCACATTGGACAAATGGACACTGAACGGGACCCCAAGACAAAGCTATAACACCATGTCTACGAAATTCAGACATCCGGAAGAGATAATGAAGCACAAGACGAGAAAACAATAAAAAATTTCGCCACCAACCTCCACGACGCAAACCCTCCTCCTAGAAGTCATGCGCCAATGCAAGAGGATAGAGATGCCAGTCTCGCACTACCATGGACCAAGATTGACGGAATGGAAGAGTCAAACAGCCTAGACAATGGTTTTCTTCACCTCTATCTTGGGTACCTCTGTGCTAGCCTCTTCCATCCGACTCTTTCGTAAAAACGCGCGTCTTATTGTAGTGTTAACGAACGCTCCTATGCTAGCAACCTTTCAACGTCAACTGGTCCATCTCCCAAGAAACATTTGTCATCATGCACGGGGTAAAATCTGCGTCTTTATCCACAGACGATGAAGCGTATCACAACAGGACATGTCCACATCAAGCTAGATTCTCTTGAAGATATTGACGAAAGTCAAGCCTTGCATTACTCCAATACCAGACTAACATGAAACATCGTCTGACCACTTGCAGCAAGCTTGCATAGGGAAGTCAATGGTCTGCACATCGGTGTTTCGGGTAAAAGATCCACCCTACAAGCGTGCGCATTCGCGTAGACCAGAGGAATACAATAAGCAAGTTGGTGAAATGAAAACACTGAGTCAAAACGCTCTCCCACAAGTCTTATGACATCAATTTTGCTCTTTTGGATGTACAAATGTCGTGGGACCAACTCTGAAAATCGAATCAATCGGAAAACATGGCTGAAGACATGGGCCCACCTACACACATTCAAAGGAGCAGTCCAAGCCCGACACGACAAGCTTAGCTGGTTCGATAAGATTCACTTCTCTCCAACCAAGATACCTAAAGCATTTGTTATTGATCCGGTATGTGAACTTCTAAGGCTTGAGCACTGGCTCATGCATCCGTGGACATTCGAATTACTCACTACTACAAGTGGACTCCTTTCAATTTCAGCTCTGGTTTACAAAAACCTACTTCTAAATTTTATTCACAAACTAATTGACGACAAGTCCGAGTCATCAGCGGCCGATACGGAATAGAGAGGACAAAAGACAACGATAAGAACTGCATCGGTCAAGAAAAGGGGTATAAATGAATGAATGAACTGTTAGCTACTCCCCAGCAGATCTCAACGAGAGATTTGCGTTTCCATTGAATTTGACAACTTAACCATGGTACATATAATCAAGGCACACATCTCCATGTAAAAGGGATCTCAGGAGCTTAACTGAATTTTGAGAGAACTATCAATTTTAAATAACCAAGTCCTACATGAAGCCAAAAGAGAGGATGAATCCACGAGCAAATTAAAATCCTACGTTTGTATGAGATGTGGATCTCCAAACTCCTTGGCAAATTTTATGTGAAAACCTTGATCCTTCCGAGATGTAAGGAAAGCCACCAATTCAGACATCTGCAAGACAAAAATCCCCATGTTAGGTATTTGAGTCGATGCGTCGAGCACGTCCACAAAAACACGAGAGAAATAGACTCGTCTCTTCTGAGCTTCACCATTTCACCGATATCGGGTTTGCAAACTACCCAACATTAAGTTTTCAGCTTACAACAGCCATACAAGATAAGACGAGCAGTAAATGGATACAGTTGTTTTGTCACGCGACACAGTTAGCATGGTCAGCAAAAGCTTAACACAAGAATTAATTAATATTTAGACAAAAAGATTGAACTCAGACTATACAGCCAGCAAGAGCAGGCAATTGTCATTAAAAGAGTCTGTATACCGAGTGGAAACATTAAAAGTAGAATCCATATATGATTGTGTTTAACATGTGGCATCTTATATAGAGAAAGAGCACAACGAACCAGCTGCAATTGCCATAATTCTGGGAACTGGTAGAAACCTTAGTCGCCTTCGACTTCACCAATGACTGTCCCGCTCGGAATCAAGGGTGAGAAAAGAAGAAATAAAGATGAAGAAAGGACAGCACATTCCTTCCCGGAACAGGCTTACAACACTTCCATCTCCCTGGGTGAAATAAAGGAATGAAGAGAGATCAAACCATATAGTATTCGAGATGATACTTCTCGATATGAAAGGATGACTTTCGAGGGGAAAAACAAAATAATACTGGGCATCCGGAGTATTGAAAAAAAATCAAAGCCGAGAAAACGTAACCTTCTGAGTATATTTTACAGTTCAAGGAATTGGGGATCTTGAGAGTTAGCATAAAGGAAACCTCAGCGTAAAAGCTGATACGCTCCTGGAAGACACGATCATCTTTCTTTCATTTCTTGAACAACAGTTTCTGCTTGTAGCGATGGACATCTTTGAAGACCATGGCTACTAACAAGTCACTTCCATCTAGAGTACTTGCTTTTAATTGAAATGAGTCAAATTTAAGGTGCCGATGAGGCTTGCAACACCACTAGGCTTTCAACTCTAATACCTTGACAAGGACCTACTTCAGTCTTCAGGTTATATAAGCTCCTTCAAACGGCAGCAAATTCTTGAACGAAACGTAAGAGTATATAAAAATCCATCTGCTAGCAGCTTGGATATGGTTATGATCAATGTGCTTGTTACTTGCTAGAAAATCGGTGAAGAAGGAAGAAACAGTACAAGAACCTGGTATTAATAAGCTCTTACCCTTTTATTGGTGAGAAAATAATATAGATTTATGCAAGACTTGAGAGATGGAGGACAAATCCCAGATAAACTACGATAGACAGATACTGATGGTAGTTTGGTAAACTGAATCACCAATCAAAGGTTGCCATTGTAACAGTAAAAGACTTCTCTCGTCTCTAAGGTCAGCAGAAAGTTAGGACAGATACATCCTGCTTCCACTTTTACTGACATCTCGTCGTTGAGCTTCGCGTATGGATTACTACCTTTAGCACATACTTAGACAATCAACTTTGCCAAAGTACAAGACATTCAGCAAACCGTGAAGGGTGAGCACGGCGACTATGCCAACTTGTAAAATAAGCTTCAATCGAGAGACAATATTTCGTCACATTTCATTCTGAATTGAGACGACGTTCTAACAACCGACAATATCTAAGCTTTTCCTTATTGGACACTCAAACATCTTGCAGATGCGTGTGAAATTTTCTCTCTTGGCGATCCTTCTATATGTTAGAACTGCTAGATATTTATTGAGGCAACTAGGACTCAATCAGCACAATGCGGTCAAAAAAAACATGAAAGACCCACAGAGAAGAACCTGGAAGTGTCGCTTGTGTAAGATGTTCATAAAAATATACAAAGGTCTTTTAGGCACAATAGTCCATAAACTAAAAAGACACAAGGATGGTCGTATTAGGACATACCTAGTCGTGTACTTCGTATTGGGATGTCTTTCAACTCACGTCTCATGCACAGCCACTCACCCAGGACTGCTGTTATAACCAAACAACAACCATTCACGATCCACCAGGTAATTGTGGTGGGAAAGCCGCCATATACAAGACAGAAAAAGAGATGAATAATATACAGAGTGGCACTGAAGTCTAGACATTTTTTTGCCCTCTCAATGAGAACCAAAAGGTACCCGGCTCTGCGAAATATAAACCAAACCAAAAGAACCGCATGGTCAGCTTATTGTCCAACACGATGCCAAAGCTGAAGCTGAGACTTTTCCAAAAAAACTTTAGCATCAGTGAATCCAATGTTAAATGGAATTTAAGCTACTACGTACTAAGCTCATCCCTACAAAGCCTAAAGTCTTTCAAATATGGCAAGGACCACCTTAGCTTCCCGCTGATTCAAAATCTCAATCTTTCCCTCATTTCCAGAATATTTTGTAACATATCACTATACAGTAAATTGTCGCCAATCAACCTCGATCTCAAACTTTGAATATAAACTACTTGTCCCAAAAATAACATCACGAAAATAAAATGAAGGGAGGTGAGAATTCAAAGCGGAAACTCAGCTCACCCTGCGAGAGAGTTCATAAAGTAGGCACCAATTGTGCACCATCCTACAAAAGATGATGCCGAGAGGTGCGAATAGTTGAAAAAGTAATTGAGGGTGAATCTGGGCACTTGAGTGCCCACGAACAATGACAGAAGTAACCCAAGACTAAGGTAATAAAGGCACTGAATGCATACAATTTGCCCCACTATCAACCAGGGATCCCAAATTGTCGCCCCGTAGAACATTGCGCTAACCCTCTTCCGGATAGCCTCCTCAACAGAACCGAAGCCAAGAGGTCGTGATCCACGCCTCCGGCTTTTTACGTCCGTCGTAAAACTTCCCGAAAACTCCAGAAACCCTCCTATCCTAACGTCTCCCGTATTGCCTGCCACTTTGCCTTCCTGGTCCCAAAAGGGAACGAATACCTTTAGTCTGGAACGCTCAATTGTTACTGCCCTTACTCCCACGAGTTGGATGGGAGCCAAGAAGGCTCGATTTTTGACAGAGATGAATCTGGAACATCTTACTGGTACCCTGCTAATGTTCGTAGCGAACAAATTTTTCTTGCTGCACAACCTCTCCAAATTGAACGGCTACGGCACGGAACCATAAATCGAAGACTTCCAGGAACCCTAAGTCACAACAACAGATGAGAACGCCTTGTCCCAAAATCAGCTCAATGTCAAGTCCGTGATTAAAATTCCAAACTGCGCCCTCCACGAGCTCCGCGCAAATCCGCTAACGATCTCGTCGCCATACAGTTCAAATATATTTTCCGTGAACTGACGAATCCGTGCTGGACAAATCCAGGTACATACAGACGCAGACACCGCTGCCCTCGCTCACTCACTGCAGACGTCGCACGGCAAAAGACCTGATCGCCGACCAGGGGCGAACCACTTCTAATAGCAGGTTCGAAGTTTGTGATATACCAACCAGCGGAAATCCTGCACGAGAGATCTACCCCTAACAAACGATCAATCGCCTCTCGTGCTTCCGCTGGCAAAGCTAAACAGCGCAACGCAAAAAACCGTAATGCGATGCAGAGAGCAATGTGGGGATCGAGAGTTGGCAGAAAGTGTAGCGCGATCGATCTATCGATCGACAAATTGGTTTGAGTTTCGTTTCATCCCGCGGCACACTTCTCCACTATTGCCGATCCCGTGGAGCTCGTGCTGTTGTTCGACTCATGTGCTGTCTACCATAGCCACCCACACCACGGCCAGACAGACACCTCCAACGCAAACGGAGACACTGAAGAAGCTCGGACTGAAGACACAAGAGACAAAAAACCTTCCCTTGACCCACCAAATGCTTAACCCGAGTCAGAAAACCAGGGGTTTCCATCGCGGGCTTCCTTACTCAACCCGCCATTCTGTCCCACGAAGCTGCCACCTCTAATTCGGCACAACGAAGGCCGCCGTGTTAGGTCTCTGTGCGGCCGTCTGGATCTACGAGCTGTTGTAAACACGTCCGGCTCTGTACGCGGGCTCTGCATACTTTTCCATGAATACGTAGTACATTCATAGTATCTCTACTGTACATCTTTCAGTGATTAAAAACCACAACCCGCAAATGAATATTTCCAGCACTCTGTCAACTTTTAATACTTTAAGCTCTACGAACTAAACGTATCACAAAACTAATTACTAGAATTTACACTGATTAGTACAAATGAACAAATATTCTTATTCGATTTCAGGCGCTTGAAAACTTTTGGATGCAGGAGTTGGATACAGAGTACCACATCATGAGAATCCTGCTGCAGAGGAGTATCAAGATTAGGGCTCGCCAAACGGTACAGAAGAGGATTTAGAGCTACTTTGCCCCAGTTTAAATAGCAACTATGTAGGTTATATCAATTTACGAAAGTTGTGGGACCAGATCAAGTTTAGAAGATTACAAAGGTTTATCTATTCCAATATGGGGACGTGGTTGGGACCAAAAATAATTAGCAGTTTATCAATTAAGGTAGTATTGCTTTAGGGAAGTTCTACAGTAGATATAAATTTATCGTTTTCAACATTATAAATGAACTATAATCAGCTATTTAGTCTGATTGAAATCATAATTAGCTTGACAAGCATCACCACAAGAATTGCATATTTCTTATGAACTATTTTAACTTATCCAAAATTTTTAGAAAATGTAATATAATTTAGATCAAACCTGTCTTCACAAGATTATATTCCCAGAGAATAATAAGACAAATGCTTAATTACAAATCAAAGTATTTTTTAACAATTTTATATCAAATTCCAAAAAAAATTCAAAATTTTTAAACATCATGTTTTTTTAACCTTCCGATTTTTAAAACTTCATTATTTCACATTCTCGCTTGTTATCAATTGTATGGTCTTCATTAGCGTTCAATCTGAAGACATAATATCAGATTTTGTAAAGAAGGTTTTTGGACAAAAAATGGTTCTTTTAAAATTGTCCCATAGTTCAGTTTAAACAACAAGTAGTTTTAAAAAAACAAAATGAGATATATTGTAAAATTTAGAAATTGTAATTATTATTTTTTCATTCAAAAACCCTAATTTGTTCAAAGACAGTTTCAACTCTTTCAATCTAACATTTTTTTTAAATAAAAAAGGATTATTGAGATAAACAAACAATGACCTTGTAGCAACACATGCAGGCTACATGCATCTCCTTTGTGACGATTCAAGTTTCAAAATTGATGTACAATATTAATGATGTATAGCACAATTCATTCTATGTGTTTGACATTCGCCACAAGTTTTTGATTTAAGTAAAAAATGAAATATCAATTTACTTGAAATGAATTTTTTGATATCACTTATATGAAAATTACCATATAAAGTTAATGTGTTTTGTGTCGAAGATTTATATTTTTATATACATAGTCATAAAAAAATATTTTTTTCCCGAAATAGAAATCCATAATTTACAAAAAATAATATATCTTACGATTAAAATTTTTTAAATATTCCTTCACAAAATGATTTGACTATTTTTATTTTTTATGTTCTATGTATTAACAAATGTTTCCAATTCTGATTTAAATTCACATTTGCTACATCGGCCTTATTAAGTCGGCAAAACTATGATGAAAATTGGATGCTAATTTTAGTGAAAAAAATAGATTTTAATGAGATTATTTTTTATTTACAAATAATGTATCTAAAAAATTATACTCACCTAAAAAAATTGTAATATATTACTTAACAGTGGTGAGAATAAATCCAATGATAATAAATATTTTTATAGATTTTTCCAAAAATGTATATATCTTCTTGATTTTATGTTTTGAAATTTGAATTTGTTTTATATTCCTCTGTTTTGGTTTTTTAAGTTAATAAGCAATCTTTAAGCAAGCAAGACAACGTAAATTTTTCATTGAATGCAATTTTTAAGCTGAAAATGAATATTTAAATGATATATAATATAATTATTAATAAAATGATGACGTAATCTATTATCAATAGATTTTTCAATAATCTATTATTGAAAATTTTCAAAACCTTATTACTTCAATATTAAGATGAATCTATCCTGTGATTATCTAATAAAGTTATTGAAAATAAATTGCAATCAATAATCTACAATTCTGATTGTTGAAGTTCCTGTTGTGTATATATATATATATATATATATATATACACACACACAACCATATAGAAAACAAGTTACCACAGCATTACGGACAAACTTATGGTTTGATCGATATATTAAAACTAAGGTGCCACACGAGTTTTTCTTGAAGATCAAGTGTAACTTTATGTTCGTATCTTTGTCGTTCTGGTAAATCTACACGCTATTTCGAGGGAAAATAGTGGCATTTGTGTGGCCCTTGTTTTGTAAGTCCTAGAGACACGAAGACATGTACGACTGTACTTGCTGGTGAAAATTCAATTTTATTAAAGGTTTAATCAGTATATAACTAGGACTTTGTGGTTTCATACTGCTGGTAGATTTAATACGGGTATGTTGCAGAAAGAGGCCGTGTTCATGGTCAACTCGTGCATTTTATATTGTTTCCAAGACCAGCGCTTCCACAGTGCTGGTGGGCCCATGTCTTGAGTTCAGATCATGCTGCTTGAGGCACCTGGTTTGGCTGCAGCAAGTTCGAACAATATCAGGTCAACAATCCAGGGATTTGCAACTATTGACGGATAAAACAGATCAATTTATAAAGCATAAAAGATTTGTGAACATAAAACATTTGAATGCGAGTAATATGTATATTTCAAAGAAATTGTATGAAGTTAGAAAGAATGCAAAAACAAGTCGATTCTCATTTGAAGAACGTTCGCTCCATATGCGGAGAAATAAAGCGGATTTTGAGATGTCTACCAGAAACGAAAATACGTATTTTTGTCGGAAAAGGCATTGATCACACGTGGCATCCTCTCCAACTTCATTGAAATGGCGACCAAAGCCACGAACTTAACCTGAGGTTGGAAATTAACCGTAGTTGGAGATTAAGCTGTTTGACCACTGTCATGGCATCGCAGTAGCAGGAAACCTTTCGAGTCTCCATTGACGATGATTTGGACCAGCGCCAACATTCCACGGGATTATGAATTTAAGCGTCGGTTTTCAGCTTTCAAATGAACGTCACTTTGAGACCTTGTCGATGTTTTCTGACTCTGGTGATTCTGGTCGGCGAATTGACAGCTCTTTTCTGAGGAGGGTGAGTATCTATGTGCTGCGCGCCGTATGAAGCAGCAGATGCGTCTATTTTTGTTTACATCGACGAATTCTCACATTTTTGTTAGGTCTGTTGAATTTGGTTAGCGACAATTTTTCGTAGCTCATCTGTCTATTGGATTTTGAATTTATAAAACATGAATTGAGAAGCTCAGGGCTCTGAGAGATTATGCAGTTGATTATAGACGTAAAGGTTTAAAATCAGATGTCAACTAATTTACCGGCTCCGCCAGGCATGCTTAGTCGTAAGTTTTGTCTCGCATCAGTACCAAAATATTTTCGTCAAAATTCTTGTGAACTATATCTAACTTTAATTGAACATGGTGGGGAGTGGTATCTATACCTCATAGATTCGGGACTTTCCAAGCACACTGTTTTGGATTTTGATACTTGAATCTCAGCTTACTTTCTGGTGCCATTGGAGATCTTGTGTAGCGCCTAAGCATTTTGAAGAGAATGTAGTTTCATCTTTACTGTCGATCGCCCTCCTAGGGTTTATCGCAGGGTTTAAGCTGGGTGCAGGCTTCTAAAAGACAACCTTATGTACGAAAGTTGTTCCTCCAGGGAATTAGGATGGGATAATTTCACTTTTGCTGATTAAAACATGAATCTTATTCAGGTTGCTGACGTGATTGCTAGAGCGTCATCTCGAAGTTTGGGAGAAGAGCAATTAGCTGTATCTTAGCGGATTCTGATGTGTATTGTTCAGCACTCTCATTCCTCCCCGTGTGACTTGATTCAGATGAAAACTTTTCCAGGGAATATTGGTAGCGCTTCACAATCGAAGCAGTCTAAGGTTTGTAGATGGGGAATATGATCAGCTGGACACACAGCCAGACTTCCTCTCTCGAGATTTCAAGCTCGTGGATTCTAGAAATAATAGATTGATGATGATTCGGTCACTTCAGTAGGAGGTCAAGGAGAACCTTACGGCTTGTCTCGGCAGTTCTCTGCACTTAGAGCCTCAAAGCAATCTCAAAGGCGGCTAAGATGAAGGGTTTACTATCTGGGATGAGTATACCGTCTCTCTTCTCCAAGAGTCCAAAACGTCACCGAAAGTTAAGTTCGGGTGGCTCACGGAAGAAGTCTCGAAAATCTTCCGGTTTGTCTACTAAAGCTCAAGGACACACTGTCAATACCTTTCCTGAAGAGACTCCAGATACTGATGAGCCCCTACTCGAGGAGCCGGTACTGCTCGAACCTGAAGAGAAAGAAACGGTATCTTCTGAGGTGGAGGAAGACCCTAGACCACTTCAGGAGTTGGTTGCTCTTGAGCCCGATCTTAGTCCAAGGCAAGTTAACGGATTAAACTCTCTGCCAAGACTTCCAAATTTTTAGGCTTTCAGTGTCTTTAACTCATGAAACATATGTTCAGTTTGATATGTAAGGATTAGGCAAATTATGGTGACTTCTGCTGATATCAACACTGAAGGTCTTGTTTGATAATGACCTCAGCTGAATTGTCCATGCCTGGTACATTGCAACTCACGTGTGGAAGAGCTTCTGACACGCAGATCTATCACTTACGAAGGCGAAACTGCAACTGTGAGACTACATTTGAAGCAGGTAGGAACTTGTCGTAGTTTCAGCGTTGTTGCTGTTCTCTTGATTTTATTGAAGTTTTATCTACATCATATGAGTTGACTCCCAGCTTCATGGTTAACAGAAGGCGGGAACGTAGATTGTACAGTTGGTACATCTTATTCGCTTACTCAAAGAATCGTTTCCAAACAGACTGTTGCGATGGACGGATGGGCGATGGTTACTCTTTTACAAGGCCGAGCCTCTGTTCATGGTTACTCCCTGATTCCGGGCGTAGCTGTTCTTTTGTGTTCAAATTCGAAACTCGCGGCGGCTGTAAATATAGAGTCCCAGTATGTCGACGGAACAATGAGTTCTATGCAGTCTGCTGAATTCTCGAAAAATACAGACCGAAGTGTTACTGCCTGTATTTTGGAGTTCAAGTCGTATCGAGGAGTTGATGTTGTTTCTCCTATGGTTGTTGATGACTTTGACCCTGAATCTGCAGCAAAGCGGACATTTAAACTTGTAAGTTTTTCACTACCGAAACTGACAGAAAATTCGAGCTGAGATTCCTCCATCTGCATCAATTTGCATCGTCTTTAATCCCGTACAAACTGCCGTCAAACCTTTGAAAATGGTCTCTACGTAAGGTTCGAGAGGTGTCCTTCTTCCTTATCTTCTCTCCATTTACGACTTTTTTCAGGAGATTCCTGGAGAAACTGTCATCCGTGATGTATATGCGGAACATTTGATTCAAAAGAGAAAGAGAGATGAGTTAGCTGGAAAAAGCTTTCAAGCTGGCAAATCAAAAGATGGCCAGGATGGTGATGATGGAGTCAAAGATAGTGAGATGTTTGAAGATCAGGTTGACATGGAAGTTGATGAGAAAGCAGATGACTCCGAGGGATTTTCTGATGACGATTATCGAAGGAAGGCACAGAAAGTTGCTCAGACACCCCTTCAACCTACAGTTATACCGCAGTCTTGGGAAACTGCTGCTAATGCTATAAGTTCTTATTCAGAGCTCAGTTCTGGCGCTCCCATTGTCGGAGTTTGCGGAGCTAAGAGTTCAGGCAAATCAACTTTTGGACGCTTTCTTCTAAATCATCTCCTTAATAGGTTCGTACAACAATCTTTTGACATTTTCTAAGCCACGTTATCGATATTCATCCAGGTCTTACTAATTGCCCATTTTGGAAAGTCCTGCAAGAGTTAAAAGAGAAATCGTCGTCGATAGAGTCCTACCGTCGCATATGAGGAAAGTGGTCTGTCCATGTTCTGCTTGTTTGGCGTTACTTATAGAATCGTCAACTTCATTCGCAGTTATGAATCTGTTGGTTACTTGGATACCGACATTGGACAGCCGGAGTTTACTGTTCCTGGATGTTTATCGCTACATATATTGAGAAAGCCTGTTTTCGGTAAGATGCACTCAGCTTTTGTTCTTGTGGTTTCCTGTTTTCTTAGTTTCATTCTTTTATGCCTTATTTGTGTCCGCTGTCGTTGGAAACGAAGAGCAGTGTGTTTTGATGTCCCTTCCATATTGCATATAGCAACGTTGTGCTGAATAATATGTTTTACGGGCTGTAGGTTCTACCTACATCTGCCTGTTCAAGATATTGAACAATCATTTATTCGTCTCTGTTTTGTAGGTTCTCCTATTTTACACCTGCAAAACCCAGAAAGGTAAAGGATCTTGTGGATATGTCTTCTAGCTCCGTGCGTCATGAGAAATGATCTTTGTATTCATGGCTATTGCTGCAATATGTAAGCTTTGACAACTTACTTAGTGGTAACCTCCTCTATTTGTGTTACTGTTGCAAATTGTGGAGTAAACGTCTTGCAAAGCACGATTCAGTGGCTCTATTTGTAGCTATATAACTGGTCGCTGTGCCTGATCCAGTCGGTTACCAATATTCCAAGACTTTTTTTTGCTTACGAACATTTCTGCCCTTGGCAACCATTGCAGGTCTTTTTTCTATGGTGACAATTCACCTAAATCTGACCCAGACATGTATTGTCGGAGTATTGTAGCTCTCTACGATTACTTCCAGCAAAATTACGGGGTGAAAAAGACAGCTCGTAGTAGCAACGATGTTAAATCTGGAATCCCGCTCATTATCAACACTCATGGATGGCTCAAAGGTGCAGTGACTTGACACTCGGATGAACAAATGTTGTTGAATGCAACATCCTTTTGTTTTATTCAAGATTAGTAACTTTTTGCTCCTGGTGTTTTTGATTTTGTAGCTCATACTTTTCGACTGTTTGCCTTTTGACAATAAGCAGGTGTTGGCTACGACGTCTTGGTGAATATACTGCGTCACACATCACCTTCACATTTAGTGCACATTAATTCCATTGGGGCAAACAATAATTTACCAACTGGCCAGTTTTGGGAGTCTTCAAATGGCACTAACAGTACAGTTCTTTTGTACATTGAGAATGCCTTGGAAGGCCCAGACAAGCCACTGTAAGCTCTTCCTGATATTCATCACGGTATTGACAACCTTGCTCGATTATATGTTTTGAATATCATACGGTTACTTGACTTTATGTGTGGCAGTTGAAGCTGAGAATGGTCTTTTAAAAATTACTGGCATCTACACTAATTGCATTGACTGTTCTGTCCAATGAGGACTTCCTGTATGTGTGAATAGTGATGTTTTGTATCACCAGGTCCTTAATCATGAAGTCTGATTCAATGCAGGATCCGTGCCAAGGCACCTGCTGATCAACTAAGAGACTTGAGAATCTTAGCTTATTTCAGGCAGTGTTTTTGGAGGAGTCCGTTGCCGTATCCATACAGAGAGGATAGATTGTATGCACAAACAGCTATGAAACTCGTTAGCTGCACTCCATTTCAGATTCCAATCTCAGCAGTCAAGATAATCCATCTACACTGTCAAGTAAGTTCCAAACAATTATGGCATCTACTTTAAAAAACAAGTGAGAATATCAGAGCATTAAGTTGCTCAACCTTTCTTGAAAGTTTCACGTTTCTTTTCCACCTCAGGCTATCACACCACGTAAGTAACGTAAACAATATATTCTATTTTATCCTACCCGGGTCCAGAGGTTCCGAAGGAGACTTCTTTGCCACATTTACGGGGGTTCCATCTTCTAATCCTCTTATTTGGTCTTTTCCCTAGGCCAGGGCTATATATTACGGCTATCCTGACCTTTCCCCCACCCCTCACGTGATCTGTCTATTAATGGGATCTTTCGTTTACATTACTCAAGTTTGGCAGCGGTTTTGGAAATAAACTAAAAAAGGGAATGTTTGTTTATAAGAATTACACACTCCTATTAGCCATTGCAATGTATATAAATAAAAAATATTATGTCGAGTGTTTGTAACCTTTCCATAGCCATGGAGACGTAAATATTGATCCTCATTCTCGGATCTGAGCAGCAGTTTGTGTTTCCGTACAGGTTCCTCAAAAGGAGAAACTGTACAGTATAAATGGAGCGTTGGTCGGTCTTGGAGTGAGCCTGAGAACTGACAAGAAGAATCCTGGCGGTCCTCCAGCAGCATGTGTGGGCATTGGTGAGTAGAAACATCTCCATTTCGATTTCTCGGAGAGAATGTTAGACCCACGATATTGTGGTTCACTTCTCTTCAGAAACACTTTTAGTTGTACCCGAGTGTGCTTAACAGCGCACGAAGTAGTGAAGCTGGAAAAGAGTTTTGGCGTATTAGTGTGAGATCAAGGATCTACATCTGTAAGCTTCGAAGGAATTTTCCAGTACGCTTACTGAAAGCAGAGAGCCCTTTCCTGTCAATACCATCCAGCTTGTTCTTATCCTTCACGTTGTTGACTACAGGGATTGTGCGAGGAGTGGATCCCGAAAAGGGAATTCTGTATCTCATCACTCCTCTTGATTTGGAAACCCTTCAGTGTGTAGACACTTTGCTACAGGGATGGATTGAAGTCCCTCTACCACTGCTGCAGGTGGGTTTGATCATCTTTTGTATATTTGCTTCTTTGAGTATCGAGTTCTATCTCGGAAGGAATGGTTGTGAACAGTTTATGGAAGCACATCTTCAGTGTAGCATGAAAGCATTTCTTTCAAGATGCGAAGATGTCAAACCATGCGTATCTGTATTTAATGCCGTAGATCTTCAAGGACAGTATCATAGAAAGCCAGCCTTTTGTTCACATTGATCTTTGTGCTAGTCTACTCTCTCCAGTTTTATAGAGTTGAACAGAATTTATTTTATCGAAGAACTCTTGGGATCTTTTTTTTTCCTGGTTTACTTCATGCCTTCGCTGGTCTTATTGCGAACGGAAATAGCGATTAGCCAAGTACATTTCTGACTTTAGCCCTTCAATCTTGTGCAGGCAAGTGGATACGTCTCACCTTACCTTTCACATAACTCAGTTGCGATTGAAGGAACGGGATCATTTGCCATAAAAAAGGCACACGAAAAGTTCGTCAAAAGTCCGAAAAAGACGTAGGGTGTGAACAGTTATTCCCCTTTGGCCGAAGGTCATAAAGTTTTGCCCTACTGGTGCTAGTAAGCACTAAGAGACTCACCCGTAGTTAGTCCATCAATCGGCTCTCACATTTTACTGAGTTTCACTGCCTTATCAGTTTTCAAACTAATTCGTGCAGGAGTTTTGCCTCCATTCGTAGAGTGTAAAGCCTATTTAGAGTAGTCAGTAGACTATATGTTTAAGAAGGCTAGGGCACTGGATGCAGTGTAAAGCACATCTTTTTGCAGTATTCTCACTTATTATGTCGTATGCTTGAGTAACGCGTCAAGCCTGCGGCTTTATTCGGCTCGAAACTTGCGAGGTCTGAGGTTCAATTAAATGCAGAAAGGTAGGAACGAAAAAATTCAGAGCTCTTATTGCACCATCATGTGTGATCCAGAAGAAAGGAGATCCATGGGTAGCGTTTCACATGTCAATGCAATAGACTGCAATGGAGAACTCTCCTTAGAGAAACTAGAAGAATCCCAGCGGATGCATAACTTTGACCCAAATGTACAATAATTTATTGTTTCGTGAATCTGTTCAGCTTGAGGTTGGAAACATTGAATTTTGCGACCAGTGCGCCACTTGAACCCTCTCACCATCATATGCGTACGACAGATGGAACAGACCATCTTTCTGAAGATTTTTCACTTTGACACTACTAAGAGACTACTTACATCTGATGTCGGGCCAGGTGGGACTAATTCGCAGTTCAATTTGATACGACGACCTCATTTAGTCGGTCAACCTGGATACGTGAATCCAGTAAGGCCTGTGGCTGAGTTGTCAAAGAATTGCCCACAGTGGTGGCAGGAATGAGATGAAACTATCTTCCATCAGTATTCAAACGATCCGCCAGCATGTAACTAAGTAACATGTTCCCGCAGTTTGTGACCAAAGGTTTAGAAATCCTACCGAGCTTCATAATAGATCAGAGTTGACGCAGAGAAAGCGGCGAAGAAACATGAAGACAATGCAATATTTGCTTGCTTACTAAAAGTTTCGTGAAACCAAGACCCACAATTCGTTAATCCAGAGCCACCGAGACGATCTAGACTTTCTATAACTTATTCTATGCACATCGAGCTTCGGGATCTCAACCATAGCACTAGTTGTAAGTGGGTCCTAACGAACCTGGGATGTTGTACGTGAGTGAAGTTGTGTCTCAATACAGAGCATTGATGACACAACTTCACCTCCCTGACAGGTGGAATGGAAACGTTGAAGTGGGGTAAAACATGAAGAAAGATACTCACAGACGGGGACCTGATTGTCAGATTTCGAGAACCGAGTTCGCACATCTAACATCTCATGTCACAACAAGCCGGTGGCACTGTGGCGGCCATTTCAACACGCCGAAGTGCAAACAAACGAGGTCCTGAATGAACGAAGGTTGCCAAGCTCATTATTACTCCACTCGGTGTCACAAACCGCACACCTTAGTTTCAAAAAACGTGCACATTAGGTCTGATCTAAATTTATAAATGATGAATACCGTTTTGCACTCTAGTGGATGACGCCGACATGTCCCTCAGATGAAGCGGAGAGGGCAGCTTTCGAGTTCGGATTACTTCACCTCGAGAACATCCAATTTCCCACTAATTGGGATGGCCCGCTTTCACGAACATCCACATAAACTTAAACTGTAGATATCATACTGTTTAATATTGTGGGTCAAGTGATCAAAACTTGTGCTTTGACCGAAGCTGTTATGAATATTACATGGATTAAATGAAATCAACCATACAAAGAAGGCAGTGGCTCTCTTGGTTTGAGGAGGGTCCATACCATGAAGTCCAAAGGGGCTGCATTTTGTTCTGTAGTACCTCATCTGCACTCTAACAAGTACCTGAGACGGGTTAGGAGGGCTGAATCCAAACTCTAGGTACCGAACGCAGATCACAGGAGAATGTCGAGGACCCTCAAAGAGAGACTCTCACAAGACATTAGACGACGCTTTTCTGTGAGCTCGAAATTCATTTAGACCGAACCGAGAATCGTCTCCTTAGGTCGGGACAAGCTTTGCTTCAACGAGAAAGGTGGGCCTCAGCCATTCGCTGACATCTCTACATTTGACTTGTCATGAGCCTAGTCCCAAGTCATTCTTCTATTCAGAGGTTCATGGTGATGCAGGCAGGGCACGGGGTCAGACGCTCTACACCAGAGTGGACCACACTAGTCTGGCCCGTCCACAAGATTAGGGGCACTTGACACACTACACACCATACTAGGAAGGACTTGCTCCTTGGACGGTAAGAACCGCAAACTGATCAGTCTACCTACTACACCGCATTCGACTGAGAACTTAAATACTTCTGGGCCTAAGATATTCGAGCCGTCAATTTGAATGAATGAGAGTGGCGGAGGAACCTGCCAGTTTGTGACTCGACGGAATAAAAATTGACCACACGGAGTCTCATTCTTCCATCAATTCCATTTCACTCATGCGAGCAATCATGATGTGCATTTGTCAACGCTTAAAGTAATCGATTTCGTCGCAGTTTGTAGTACAGTAGTGGGAGCTTTGTAGTAGTACAGCATTGCAGTACAGTACCACGTGAGTGCTTATCCCCACCACCTCATGCATGCAGTCCACGAGGACTCACTTCCTCACTCGCTTCTTCCCCCGCCCACTTACCTTTCCTTTCTTCCTTTCCCTGCAAGCATCAGTTTTATATTCGAGGCTCGAATACTGCAGACTTGTACGAGTCCTCGCATCACAGGGATACATGGAGGGATGAAGGGAGAAGTAATCATCGTCATTCTCGTGCGTTACAGTAAGAGTAACAACCTTTCTGGTTTCTCAGAAGCATGGAATTGGAGGCTGAGAGGAAGAGAAGGATTGGAGGAGTAGAGAAGGGAAGGGAAGGGGAGACGTGGTCATATGTAGGTAGATATTTTGGAAGGAGTAGGACGAGTCACCTCTGGATCACAGCGGCTGCACTCTGTTTTGTCTCAGAGCTGTAGGGGAGCAGAGGGCAAGATTCTTTGCTTTCGAGCATTATACGTAATGCGTGGCATGGACTGGATTCAAACCATGTCAACAATATGGACTTCTTTCTCTCATCCGTGAAGTCCCTTGATTGTGTCACCGTCAGAAATGGGCCGATCTTCCCGTAGTTCTCAGGCTTCTGTCTGGGCTGCGTCATGTTTTGTTTGTTTCTTGCCCTCTAGGTGGTGGAGGCTGCCACCTTTGCTTTTGTGAAAGGTAGGCATGGATGGACGGACCCAGCGAGGTAACGCAGCGTCCTCTCCTGGAGAGGGCGTGCGGTAGAGAGAGAGAGAGAGAGAGAGAGAGAGAGATAATTTAAGTGTAATTTAAGCTTGGCAGCTGAGATCTCTACCGCAGTCAGCAAATGAAGCTCCTTTCGTTACCTTCCCTTTTTCTCTGCTTTACTCTCCTCCTCCTCTCCTCTCTTTACCTCCCCTTTTGTTCTTTAGAAGATCTTTTGCCATTACATCATTCAATGTCATTGGAGTCTCAGACGGGATGGATTGTACTGTACATGTCAAATCGCTTCAGTTGACAGGATCAACGCAAGAGACGTGAAGGGTTGGAGCAGTCCTGCCCCAGAAACCAGTGTATTCTCAAGTGAGGGATGGATGGGAGGATGGATGGCTAATCGTTGGGTTGACCCCTCGTTGTCGACTTCGAAGGCCGAATTAATGACTGATACTCCGACCTGCATGACACGTATCCGAGCCTGGGGTGCGAAATTCTATTATCAATGTTGACACCACGTCACGCCAGTAGTAGTAGCCATGCCATTAATCCCGCAAGGATTGCCATGGCATGCCTTCGATTCGATGTCATGAAGACGATGGAATGGAGGGCTGCTCCGCACTGCATGTAGTAGTAGTACTTCTCTGTCTATTCGTGTGCTGTGAGTTGGTGCGAGTCGTTCAATAGAACCTGTAGAATGAACTTGACAGTACTGTCCACAGTAGTCTATTAGACCGAGAGAAGATTTTCTTCACTTACGAAGTTCGAGCTGAAAATCATTTCCTGCCCCAAAGAGTTCGTACTCTCGAAAGCTGCTGGAAAAGTAGCTCGAATGACGTTTCTTGCTACCAGAAAATTCGTTGGACCCCCAGGCCCAGATTTTGTAGGCTCAATGGTAGGCTCTGTACGATTGCATAAGCCAGACTCAATCGTAGTTTATGCTGGAACAGTTCATGTCATTAAACCCTCAACAACACGACTGCACTAATCGAATAGTTTAATCTTTTCGCATGAAAATGCACGTTTTATTAACGATCTCAACCGAGCAGTTGGAGATTTAATATGATACGAAATACTATATTATCAGAAATATTCTACGCAATTAGTCGCATGAATCAGAGCTGATGAACTCTTGTTCATCAGTTCTTAACTTGGAACGTTGAACTTCATCTGGACCGACATATACACAAGCTCCAATGTCACAAAAAATCTATGCATTGAAGTCACGAGCGTATGTGGACAATGTGCACCCTTGTATATTAGATCTTTTGAAAGACTTGTTGAAATGTTCCCGTGTATGTGAGATATGGTCCGAACGGTCAGATCTTTTGGTTGAATCTGCACATTCAGGGACTGTGCATTGATTTACTTGTATGAAAAATTCCATTAGTTTCCTGGAAACCACTTCCCTTATGATAGGTAGTCAACTAGAACTGAGATGTATCAAAGCGATTGGGACTGCACAACTGAAAACTCATCTTTTATTCTAATAGCTCTGATTGAACCCCTAGTGTCTCACATCAACCACCTGAAACCTTTTCAGACAATGACACGCGACTCACATGCAAATAGGAAGCATTAAGTACGCTTCTTATCACCTGTAAGGTACAGATCTTCTCGCTCTGAGTATCCACAAATGGTTAAGGCAACACAGTGGAATATATTAGGCTTTATCAAAGGAATACATACACTGTCAGGACGCACATATGATATATCTTTAAGTTAGACTTGCCATTTCTTCCACTTGAGTATGTCCATGAATTATAGTTCTGCTTCTGTTCTCCCGGATATTATTTCTTCACTCAGGCTTACACTTTCACAGGCTTCTGTTATTTCAGATCTCAAGCAGTTCTCATACGGAGTTTGAGTCATAAGTAGTTTGTACATCAATGAGTCCATTGATCGATGACAAGTGTTGCCTTTGCAACTTGCCATAATGAAATCCCCAATCTCTGCTTTTGAATATTGATGTTTATTCAACGAAGCACACGCTTTATTCTGTCGAAGGAGTCGATACTGGAAAACGTCATACGATTTGTAAGAGAGAGAAATGATGTGGCGTCCATTTCTGTACCTCGGCCGTTGTCAGGGCATTATTGCATATGAACGTATGAAAGATATAACGGTATGCAGCTGATACTAAGAAGAATGAACATATTGAGTAGCTCAAAGTTTGCTGATGCCGAGTTCTTTCTACAAACTCTTCATCAATACTTCCACTTCCAACCGAATGGTGGGTTGCAGACATATTTCCATATTAGTTGCAGGTGATATGAAACTATCAACCTTGCCTTCTTGAAATAGTATGAAACAGCACAAGTCTCCAGAGGCAGAGGAGATCTAGATTTTGGGGTTCCGTGAGTTGGGAATAGTTTCCTCCATGTTCGGCACCTGGGAATTTAGAATTGTAAGTATGCATGCAATGCTAGGAATTGGTGGTTCTCTATTAAGAAACCTTCAACCTTGAGAATATAGAAGTATGTAGTATGGAAATCATCAAAGTGGATGTACAAGTAGAAAGATATCTCCCAAACCATCCAACAGATAGCATACATTGTGTGGAATTCAACTTCACGGCCTGCATTTTGGTCTTTGTTTCATGGAGTTCCTTGACGTTTGCGATGGGCATGTAGCAGATGACTGCCTGCTGCGTGTGTCGTTGTCATCTTCAATGTGAGCACTGACCGATGCAGATCATCAGATATGCTTATACTGAGATTAAATTATTTCAATGCCACAGTGCGATATGAACTAACCAGTAGCTCCTTCTAGATTTTTTGAGGTCCTTGTAACATATCTGATCAGCTGTCTTGCTTGTGAACGGGTCTCGATCAGCACCAGGAACCACAAAGTAATGCTCTATTAGCAGTTTTGGGAAAATCTCCTGTCACTTACACCTCGGGCACATCAGCGAGTTGGTAAGATGCTGGTGCCACAAGGTTTAAATGTCCAGTCTCCAGAAAAAGAAGCGTCGGAGACTGAAGAAAATGAGAGACACTGAACTTCAATTCACCCTTGATATATACTTTGATAAACACTTTGCTGCAATATGTTTTGATAGTGGAAGTAGCAGACCAGGTTTAGACATTTTTATAAAATTCACATGGCGATGTAATCTTCCATATCATGAAGACATACTTACAAGAGATGTAATCTTCCATATCATGGTTATGAATGATAGAGATGTAAAAACATTATTGTCGAGAATATCTTGTGAATATTTTACACCTATTCTCTAGAAGCAAAAATTTTCTTACGTCTGTATGCTACCTATAGTTATAAATGAAGAACTATCAACTTTGTATTCAATTTTATTTGTAAAAATTACAGAAACCAAATCTTGATGTTTGATCTTAAGAAACAATTAACTAGCTTTGACTCCACTCCACTATCGTTTGATTCAATTTAAAAGAATTGAGAATTGAGTCATATATTAAAATTGTATAGTATTTTTTTAAAGATCAGCTGCTTGTAAAAGTTTTGGTGACAATTTATCAACTCTAATTTTTTCTTGTAAAGAAATGAAAGTATCTAACTTGAAACTAATATCCTTATTTTTTATTTTCGAAAAATTTATGAGTGAGGATCTATTTTAGCTCATATCTAACTTTTGTCTTTGGCTGCACCTAAGACACTTTTCTTCTTCTTTCTGGAACAGATGAGATTATCTCTGACTCCATTTGACATGAGTAGTTATCATGCTCCGAAAAGTGAAAAGCTACATCATGAGACCTCCACTCCTTATTCCGATAACACGATTTTGTCTAATAGGGCAAGACAGAAATTTCTTCCTCTTGACTGTCTTCATTTGCGTGGAGTAAAGATGAGTTAGGATTGACATTGTTTTTAGTATAATTTTAAATATGTCTTAAAGGAAGAAACAATATCATTTCATGTCAGTTTCTACAGAAAAATATCTATGCAGAAACTCGAGACAGCGATGTCTTCAACGCCAAAAATGTTGGACAACAGGTTAGCTAAACGTGTACTATTGTCTTCTATCTTGATTGTCGTTTGTATGATTTCAGTCTCTTAGAGGTTTGACATAAAGTACATAAGTCCTTTATGTTTGGATATTTTGGCATGAGGAAGACATAAGGAATCAATCTCTGATGAAGATAACCACTGAAGAACAATGATGAAACATTATCGGTCTACCGTTGGTCTCCTGTGTATTGATCTGAATGTTCTATTGGAAATATAACTTGCATTGTAATATATTCAGAACATTGTGCAAGGTTGCTGGGCCGGATGACCTCGTTGACAAATAGTTTGAGTTGCTCAGAAAGAATTCAACCAATCTTTAAAACATAGGTTGTTGTTGACCGATCTGGAGGTAAACGCTATTGGGCTTGCTTGCACGATAAAATCCGTAATAATTGGGTATTTGAAATAAAGTTTTCCAGCATGTCATCCATATAATGTACAGATATTTAATTGGAGCAGGTGAAGAACTATGATCTTATTTCAAATTCCACTTAAACTCGAAAAAGTCCAAAGTCAAAGTTGTACTGAAAGAGAAAACACTTCTTAAATATAGCAAATCTTTCCCCAAAATTGATAGAATATATATATAACACGAAGAGGAGGCCTTTGCTTGGGCCCAAGGGGTATTCGAAATGGCTGGATACATAGCAGGGTGTATTTCTACTTATATTTAATGTAGTTTTGGTTTGTTAGCAATCAACGCGTATTACACACTTAACGAAAATGCCATGTCATTTGTAAACGTTTGACATTTCATTCGTGTTGGTTTCTACCATATTTGACCCGTTGTTACACATGTGGATAAAACTTGGATAATTGCAGAGGGTAGTTTAATGGTAGTGTCAACCTCCGAGTTTTCCCCAAATGCTCATCGCATCTCATCAGGGAATGACCGCATCGTTTGTAATTAGTCAACTCTTGCGACAAAACTCCACATCATCCTCGCAGCTTAGTTCTTGAACTTCACAGCCGGCACATCCCACAGCTTTAAAGTAGTTTATTAGCAGATTGTTTAATCTTGTTCTGATTGGGGAAAAAAATTAGTTTCATTATGATCGCCTTGGCAAACTTCAAGTCGGTGGGTTGTTGCACGAGTGCAGCGAATGTAGACAGAACGCTCAAGAGAAAAGTTCCAGAGCAGAAACACATGTTATACAAAAGCGAAAGAAAAAGAACAATCCTCTGGAAAAGGCTTCAGATTGAATGTTTCAATACATATATTCATGATATAATTATGAATATAAATGGCTTTAGATTGATAATGAAACTTTTCCTCCTTATCTCTTATCCATACAATCATCTTATTTACTTCATATGTCAGAGGATAGATAATAATCTTTCTTAAGCTTGAAATTTTCCGTGATTTGCCAGCACTTGTCAGTGTGCGATTCGCTTACGACATGCATCTACGGCATCTGGGAAGAAAGAAAGAGGAAGTGAGATATCGAGAGCCATATTCAGTGAAGAGAACTGACTTACAAGCTGCACAGAAGGCACAGAAAGATAAAAGAAGAGAAGCTGACACTTTGAAAAATGCTGCAGTTTGATCCTACCACTTTGAGCTATTGTGTGAGTTCTAAATCCCAAGGCAAACCAGATTCTTTTGTCCCCACAACTCCATGTGCTTCACAGCTGGCCCACAGAAGTGCTGTGGTTGTATCCCATCTGGAGACGCTTGCATTCATGTTGGACATAGACCCACCCCTTTGGTTCCTCTCTTTTCATTCAAATCATTCTTATGTATCAAATTCATGGCCCCTCCAGAGTATTCTTATGATTATAGAACCACATCTTTTCAAGACAGCAAGAAAGAAGAGACATCTGCTTCATATCTTTGTCCATTGCTATCCTTTCCAGCACACTCTCAGGTAGAGGAAAATTGACTCGGCCTCAACATCCTCTCTTCTCTTCTGACTATTGTACGTTTCGGTAAATTGAAAGTTCTCATCGACGGTGAGCTCTGAGCAAGTTCAGCGAAAGTATTGGCTGACATGTCGTGGAAAGGTTTGAAAGGAACTTGTGACCAGGAGGTGCGTTCATTTTATAACTGCAACTCTGCCGACTGATCGATGGCAGACTATGAGTGACGCTCATTCGATCTGAACGTTCAAATCTCTGATGCAGTGAGAGTAAAGGGGGCGGGGAGTACACGAAGTATGTCAACAAAGTCTCGAGGATAGTGGTGGGTTGCAAAGCTCGTATGATTCTGCCTACACCTCAGGCTCTGACCTCATAGTGGAAGATAGAGTCATTCAAGCTCATTGTCGAGTGTCCGACAACCGGCACAGTGCAAGCACAGCGCAAGTCAATAAAGGTGATCGCCATCGAAGGGTGCCATTCCATTCAGAAGCTATTGTGTAAGGTCGGTCAGTCAGTAGGTTGAACAGAAAACTCTCAGAGTTTATACAATGAATAAAAAAAAAAGAAAAGTCGGAGCTTACAGTCTGCTCTAGTACGTAGTGGTGATGGATTCTGAAGGCTTGCCACCCGTTAGCGTATTCTGTCCTGATTTATGAGTACGAACTCGTAGCCGAGATGCGTGTCTTGCTAATCCAAGTACTAGTGCTTTAGGATCTTTGGAAGGGGAAGGCAATAGTTCTCTTTCCATGTCCACCGTGGCTTTTTTGGATTCTGTTGAAGCTGTCCCTTTCAGCATACCGAACCCTGTTTCGACCGGCCAGAAGTTCCTCTACAATGAAAGTTCAGTGTGCTCTTGTTCAATCAATCTGTGATGTTCTGATGTCAGCAAGAACAAAGACTGTATAATATGGCTAGTTCTAAAGCTGGATTTCAACTGTTTTTCCAGAATGAAACTTTGGCTGCTTTTGCCTCCAAAAAGGTTGTAGGGAGCTTGAAAACATCTGACCCTATCATGCATTAAGGTCCAAGAGTCTGAAGGTTTCATAGGTTACAGTGAAGACTGAACAACTGCATTATGTACAATCATGTAGCGCATGGTGAGATTTCATGCTCCATGATCCCAGTCCATCAGTGTCAGTCAACCGAGGTTGTTGCCAATTCCTCGCTTTGACTATTTGACAATGAACTCGATAGCTCCCTCTTTTCTTCTGAGATAGCATCAATCGAATGCAGCATGCTCCACGGCAGCTAGAGCGGCTGAAATTCGACAGGACTCGAGATGTAGATGCTCAGTGGTTGCACACCTTCCCATGGAAGATTGATTCCGCGGGATTCATTTCCTTTCTGACTCTCAGCTGTCAGTCCACTGATGTACAAAGTGATGGAGCTTTGCATTATCTGCCAAAAGCTGAAGTTTTGAAAACACCAGCTTTGTTTCGTGGATTTCATTTCGGGAATCTCCAAGTCCTCAACGTTCATATGAGAAAGCAACACAGAACCACCTATAAACTATTACAATACTGCGAACATCATTCGAATTCTTTGACTTTCGTGTACGCGTTGAGAGCTTTATCATGTGCTTCTCATGAAAGATGGGAATATGAAGCAGTACTTCATTGCTCAGAGTGATGGCCGTTTCTGCAGGTAGATGTAGAGTCATAATACGTATGGCATGATCGATATCTGCAACAAGGAGAACCGAGGGATAAATGGAATCATGCAACTCATGAATACAGAATTCAAGTATGTCTTTTGCATCCGAGGATAGTTATAGCGATGAGAACAACATTGAAACGCTGGCCACCAATCGGCACCGATCGCTGAAGTATCTCCAGAATGCGATTTAACAGTACAACCAACCAGTAACTGCAACAACATTCTCCTTTCCTAGGGTGTTAAGAGGTTCCGTTCGAAATCGGTTTGCTTTCCTTGTCCGTATGACAGCCAACCACATGAAGAAATGCTCATGAGATCTCCCACACAGCCATCAAACCAACAAAGTTTATTTTGAATCGTTAACTAGTGTTTAGGTATGTCCACTTCATCACAACCTTTGTCTAGCCTTTGCAAGATAAAGATTAAGGTTGTATATTTGTCGATTTATTCGGTGAGAACTGGACGTATGAAAACGATCACATTCGACTCTCAGAACAGGAGAGCTACAAGTCCTCCGTCGAAAAAGTTATGTAATAAGAACAAACTTAAGTCTAACTTGATGTTAAAAATCTGGGTGAACTCGTTTGGACCAAAAGGAATACTTGCAAGAAAGCTATGTCCACCAAAGAAAGTTCAATACAGCTGTATAAGACAGCAGAGAATAATTGACATATAGCTAAAACATATACTCTTCATTTCGTCGAGACGGAGGATATTGTACCTCTCTACGAAAATAAAATAAAATCACGTCCTTATATACCTTATAACCATAGAAAAAAAATACAAGTGGTGAAATTGATAAATATGATAAAAAAATTTATTGAGAGTTAAGTCATATACACTTTTTGAAAGATGAAATCCAACCAAATTTTCACAAGCTTCACCAAGTAGTATCTAGCAACTGGATTTCAATTTTACAATCATGACGCTATATCGCAGCAGTAGACCCCAATTACAAGAGCTTTTGCGAGGTTTATTGTGGCATTGATTGTGAACGGGGCGAAGTAATTCACTTTCAATCACTTATAGGATGACTTGATATCAAACTCTACGGAAGTTCACAAAAAGAAAAAATAAACTATAAATAACACAAAGCCACGATGACGGTACTCACTTCAGATAGGAACCAAATGAGATACCGGGACTGGCTGGCGTCACGTCGTTCGGAACATATTTTTCCGCAGGTAGAAAAGGCTTTCATAACTCCGTATGTACTTACATTCCTGTGCGCCAAAAAGGTGAGTGCAAAGATATCTGCAAATATTCCCACCATCGATGGGTCATCAAAGTACAAGTGATCGTCATACAGAAGTCTGCATTCACATAGTTGGGACAAAGATTGTGCACCTGGCGGTGATTTCGGATAACCATGGTGAGGTCAGCCATGTTCTCACCTTGGCCAGGATCCCTTGAACTTACCGTGCATGGTAGGCCAAGCCTACAAATTTCTACTCGAAGATACACTAGAGCGTCTGAACATTCTAAGCACATTCCAGAATCCATCACCCCTCACCGCTTCTCATGAATCTGAACCTTTTAAGTTGAAACGAGAACAGTTACAACCATTCTTAACCCATCTTTGAAGCAACGTGTTCAAGTGGGGAAGAAGACAATTGCATACTGTTCAGCATGTTGAGTATTACTAGTAAAGGAAAGATGTGCTTCACGAGGACATGCCTGTAGGGAAATTGAGCGTCCTTTTCCATGGGCTGCGCATTCATTCAATTAATGCTTTAGTCAAGTGAAAGCCTCCATTCAATCACTCCATGTGCAAACAACTAACCACTTTACGAAAGAGAGTCGGGACATGTGTGATCCAGCCAAGAGGACAAGGGCCTGCCTTGAGGGATACAGAACAACAACGAAGGAACGACCTCTCCGCCTTGATGGGTTTCACAGTACCCATATTCCCAAGAAAAGAAAGCTTGTCATGGCCGCACAGTGTAGATGCTCACCGCTTTGCTACGTCCTAGTTCCAAGAACCACCATGGGCGGTGGGTGGAAGAGAATATCAGAGGGCTGAAAGTGCATCTACATAGCTATGTAGGGAGGCAATGCCAGGGGCTTTTTCCGACCATCTATCTCCAGCTCCAGGCTTTACAGATTCTCCGCATGAGAAAAGAACATGCATTTTTTTCCTGGCTGCACGTTTTTGGCAAAAGGACGATGAATCTCGAGCAAATTCGTTATTCTTGTTCTGTTTGGTCCATAACATCGACCTCGACGCTGTCGAGGTCGATGTTATGGACCAAACAACTGCAACTGGGTACAGCTGAGCAATGACGTTCTCTCACACCACAAGTTGACATCCAGACATCGACCTGGTACCGAACGTGTATAGGATCCACATTCCTACACGTTGGAGGATAAATTGCAGCATGCCCAGGGGGTCTATGTGTTCCTACAATGTTTCACAAGATCTGTATTCAGAGATTACATCAACTTGCAAGTCATCTCCCAAAAGCAGTGACATTTCTTTTGTTACACAACGTGTGTTCCTAAGCATAATTGATCCACTTAATATATGCTGTTCTACGTAGAAGTCAGCTCAAAATTTCATTAAAAATGGGTTATTTCATGAGTAGACCTTGGGGTTGAAATATTTCCAACACAAAAAGCTTCGAAGGAAATATTTAATGCAAAAAGAAAAACTGTCTCGTCCTAATGTAGATGCCCAGCTGCCGAATAGGCCGACGCCTCCTAATGCAGAGGAGGCGTCGCCTAACGTCGGCCTATTCGGCATCAGGTAAATCCGTAAAGAAATCCTATCACGGAGAAACAGCATGTCTTAGAACAAGTGGCAGAGGCAGTGGAGGATATAAATATATTTAACAGTACCTATACTTCATCTCTCTTCACTCTCAACTTAGACATCTACGAGGAGACAAAGCCTTTGATCACAATAGAAATCTACTCTCCTATGATTCACCACCATATTCATGCATAGCCACAGCTGTGAGCTTGAAAATAGAAATGGCTTCATCTCTAAGTCCAACTTTACCATCATTTATTGCAAGGTCGGTATATGTGAAGACCTTAGCCCATACTTCTCATTCAATGCACCAACACAACCTGTCCCGAAAAATTATAGATTGTTCCCCCATCAATATTTGCGAAATATTACGAACCATGGCTACAAGCTGCATAGGAGAATATTTTTCCGAAAATAGACTCAAGGGCACACACCCTATTATTTCAAAATATGTTGGTTCCAACTAGCAGACTTTATGGAAACTGGTGGGGAGAGTTTAGTAGTCTATGCGGCACTTTTCAGTAGAGTTTCTTGAGCGCAAGACAAGGACGGCTTAAAAATGGGAGCCGAAGACGAAGAGAGCAATTAGACAGAATTGTTCAAGGTTTCAAAATTTCATGTGCTGGAAGTTGTCGATGCATAGACCGCCTGTCTTCACAAATATAGACAGCTTTAAGTGCCCAGGGTACCACAATGGTCGACATAAACTCGTGACCCACACTGCTGTGCAATGGGTCTACACAGCTTGACTTAATTTACTCTCCAGCGAAGGAACATCATATATACTACAATCCGTAGAGTTTTGAGTAGGCTACGACTTCTTTTCCTCAAACAAAATTTGAAAACATACGACGACTTTTGATGCGCATGATTGCCTTTGACCACCTACTACGCATAGCTTGAGTAGGAAGTTAAAAGTTTGAGATCTGGTCCGACTATCTGAGGCTCATAGATGAAGGAGAAAATACACCTCTTTGGGAAAAGAGGCATTTACTCAAGAGAAGTTATTACAGTTTCTTGTCAGATTGAAATCTGGAAATATTTGACGAGGGAGGAATCCCAAAGGATATCCTCCAAGATTCTTGATCTATAAGAGAATCAAAACTGACATATTATCTCCTTGATATGTGGCTAAGCACATTACGCCCAAATGCTGTCTGTGTAAGTAATATTTTCGAAAGTAAAATGCACAGGGATGCGGTGTGTGAGCTGGGCTTCACCATCCTCTAAACTGTATAGTTTGTCTTTTGGAACACTCGTTCCGAAGCAAGTCGCTTTTGCCAAAGGTTACACAAAGGATATTAATGCAAGGAGCTCTAAAAGACTCGTGGCGCACTGATGACACAACTTCCAGCAATCTTTTGTAAATCACTGGAAGCTGAAAAGATCCCTCTCAACGACATACAATATGAAACTTGACACCTGAAACCCAAATTTGAAACTTCTGTTGCCCACTCGAAGGACAAGTGTAGATGACCTACCTCTTGCACATGACTAACAAAAATGAATCGATCGTGGTTTAGTTCAATAGCCGACAAAACGTTTCAAAAGGAGCTGCTACTGTGTTCACCTCAAAGTCTTCACATAATCTGGCTCATGGCACTCTGGATCCACAATGGGTGAGTCAGGAAGAGAACATTCGGCCTTGAAATGTTAAGACGAACGCAGCAACTTGAACAACAGTGAAATCATCTGGCAGCAATAGACAAAGTACACACATGACTTCTCTTAACTCACGCTTAATTGTGCAGGTAAACGGCCCGCCCCGGCTTGGAACGCTGTTGGGGGTGCTTGTCATGAAACGCTTCAACCTCTCACGTGATTACTTATCTGCTCCATCAGCTATCTGCAATTGACTCCGAGGAGTTGAGCATCTCCAATCAATGGACTTGGAAAATATGGACACTCCAGTGATTCCCTCGGTAGTCTCCATGTGAAAAGAGGCGAGTAGTAGTAGAGATGAAGGAGGATTAAACAATGACCGGAAAGATCAACTTGCTCTCGAGACCCATATCATGAAGATACCGTCTCGTAGGTCAAGAGAGCGAGTGAGTTTGTCGTGAAGCTGTAGTGGAAGCAAAACAAAAGATTCCTCGCTTTACAGCATTTGACGCCCTAAACCGTGTCCATACTTATTTCAACAGAATCAATTCGCAATTATGTCACCGTCTAAGGGAGGCAATTCCTCGTCTTGACTTGCTCGTTGCCCATCTTGACGAAGTCCTTAATTTAGAGAGCTTGACACCTTTCTTACGCTTCCCTGCTGAGGGATAGATGGAGGCAGGCAGGCAGGCAGGGTTCGTAGGTGTGGAGTCCATCCTGGCAGCAAGAAATGAATCGGACTTGAGAGAACATTACCTGAATGTTTCATCAAATCCCATCCTTCAGTCCAGGGAGGCATGTGCACGTGGGCTCATCAATGCCAAGATTCTTCTGTGAGACAGCCAATCATCATCATTGAGCTTGGAAGTTACAGCATCAGTCATATGGCGGTTCGGTCCCTCAATTTTTGAGTCGCAGGAACTGCTGCAAGAAGACGCCATATCAAAAGCGTCCGCCAATTTTACACTAGGTTCTCCTGGACTTCTTCTTGCAACTTGCAAGCGCTCTGCTATGCTCTGCTTTCCTTGCCAACCTCGAGACTGTGTGTGCCTAGGGGAGTAAATGCCTCTCATCTGCCCACCAAAAAGTGCCTTGTGTTGAACATGACCCGACTTTGAGGCTTTGAGGCTTTGAGGCATCGAGGCCTTGGGGCTAACTCTTTGGGGCTTTCGAGTACTCGGCAGTGGAAGGCGACTTCTGCTCACATTGTCCATGACACGACGGCCATGCCGAGAACAAAGATTCACAAGCGAGGTGCCCCATCCCTTGCCAGCTCATTTGATTCAGACAACGATGAGTTTCTTCAGATGGTCACGTCTAAGATTCGTGGCTGTTGCAATTCAGCTACTCCTCCTCCGAGGGTTTCTTACACTGATCCTTTTGATGTCGGTCTCCCATATTCTCCTTCGACCGAGCAAAATCCCGGTCGTCGCCCCGTGGATCCCTCAAATCCATGCCAAACTGAGGAATGTGACTGATGGCCGCGAGGCTGAGCTGAAAGGGTCAGAAGGTGCCGGTATGGCAATAACCCTGAACTGAACGCCTCTCTCTCTCTCTGCGCACGGACCGACAGATTTTCCACCTACTGGCCATACCGATCGATGTGTTTTCATAAAATGCTGCATGAAAAAATATTTTGAACGACAAATCATCCGTGAAAATGTTCTGAGGTTCCCAGAAGAGATATCGGTTCTCGGTGGACTTCAGAAAAGGGAAATTGATTCTAGCAGGGAAAAGAAATAATTCGGAGGTGGAAAGACAATTATCATGCCGTGCCGATAACCTTTCCGAGTAATCATGAGCGTGGAGAACGAAGAACGATGATCGACAGGAGAAAACGAGATGATTCAAATCTTTGATGATTAGAGCTTTAAGGATGATTGACTTTCAAAGATTCCCCAAACATACCAGGCAAAAGAGAGATTGACTGCAGAGATTCGTAGAGATCCAAACTGTACCAACCAATTATAACTTGCATCCCTCCTAAGGATGGATTTCAGCACACCAGATGCAAACCACACACGTCTCAGCTGGCATGCATCAATAGTGGGAGGTCATGTAGAGTTGGTACTTGAAGAAAGGGAAAAAAAAACATGAAGAATATTTGACCAGGAAGCCAAGAAGCACACCCGACTCCCACATCCAAGTTGTGGATTTCAAGTTTCTTGATCTTGAACATGATGACCGACTCGGTGGTGGACATGTGAGGCAGGGTGTACGTTCAACCTGGATGCATTACAAAGGCATGAACATGTTGTAATCGGGAAGACTTTGATGATAGATTCTGTCTCGATCCACGAAGAGATTCCGACTTAAGTCGAAAAGCTTTGATATGTGAAGGACTCGCTCGTATCCCTTCATGGGATTGATTCCTGCAATTGAACATCGCCACCATCATCTTCATCATCATTTGTGCTTGATGTTCACACTCCTCAAAGTGCATGCTTTCCGGAGTGGAAGAGAAAAGTTCGATGGTCCTGGTGTGGACAACTGAAAAGCTCTTTCCTGGACCAGGGGAACACACCGAGGGGCAGGTACTCTGGGCGTGGTTAATTAATCCATTCATTCATTCATTCATTCCTTACACCTTCCTGTTCAACTCCTCTCCTCTCTCGATGCATGAAAAGATACCGGTCCAAAAGCTTGGGGGCCAAAATCAAGATCTTTCTAAGTAATGAGCTAGAACGAGAGCGTAATGCAGAATATACAAAGAATATTTCTTGTTCATAATGCTAATGTTTATGTTAATGATGTTGTTGTTGAGTGCGGGTGGGTGGGAGAGTGAGTGAGTGGATGTGTGTGTTTTGTAATAATGCAGGATGCGCGATGGATGGGACGGATGCCCTGCAGAGATGAAAATGATTTACCCCGAAGGTGATCTTATCCACATGTTTCTGTTAGGGAGACTGCTCTGACTTCGCGAGCGAGCGAGAGAGAGAGAGAGAGTGGGAGATGGGAATGGATCTGTTGTCTGCGTAATGATTGGCTGGTCAAATGACTGTGCAAGCAATGGGGATTACCGAAAGCTGATTGATTGTCGAGTGATGGAGTGAGCTGGGCCAAAAAGGATTATAATATATCTGGCGCTAGCACGAGAAGTTGGAGAACCGAATCCTGTAGCTCTAATTTAGAGCTACCTCGTCCTCCTCCTCCTCTGTCTCCTCGTCCTCCTCCTCCTCCTCGCCCTCGCCCTCGTACATGGCTCGGCACGCAGGAGAGTGAGTCTGGCATGCGAGACAAGTGCTACATGAAACTGTAGGAGTTCCAGCGTCGCTGGTTTGGCAGCATCTCCAAGTTCGACTAGCAATAGTGGCGATCGCTGCAGCTCTCGCTCTCGATGCGGTTGGTTGAGATTCGGTCGACGTCAAGACGACGACGCCCAGACATGCATCGCTAGACAAACAGAGAGTGAGATCGGCATGCAAGTCAAGGCCACCGATGATCGCTCTGGCTGGCCACTGTCGAGTACAGCTAGCCACAGCCGATCTCATGTCGAGCGGCAGCACGAGACGAGACGGGGACTGTTAGGGTTTTGTTCGACATGTTCGAGCTGTGGAGGCCGGCTCCACAATGTCACATGCAGGCCCATGCCAAGTGCCACTGACTTAGAGGCGAGCGAGAGAGAGAGATGGAGGGAGGGAGCGAGAGAGCGAGGGAGCGAGTGGATCTGATCTTCTCGTTACGGTTGGACATGCATGGCATGGATGCAGAGGAGGCAGCAGGAGGGACAACAACAACTTCGGCGACTAGAGAGCAAAAGACCTCGACTGCACAAAACAGTGCTCCCCCTATAACGAACTGTTGGCTCGATCGGTTATGGCGCAACTTGTCTCGGAGTCGACTCTTGTTTGCTTCCTCACTCGCAGCAGCCGCTCGTCGTCCTCGTCCTCGTCCTAGTCCCCACGAGGGAAATCATGGCTTCTCGGTCGAATGGGCTGGTGGGCTCGGCTCACATGTCGATTTAGCCCCTCATGATCGGCCAGCCGTGTTGCGACCGTGACTGCCCAAATCGAGAGGGGCACCCGACTTTACCTCTTCACTCGTCGGGACGTCTTGAAGACGGGGGGGCGGGGGGCGTAGGCGCCAAGCCATTTTAGAGGAGGTGCAATTGGCGCCGCGCTTCTGGGGCCTCTGCCTCTGTCCCATCCCCCGCTCGGACTCGCACTACCCCCTCTCGCCATCTTGGTGGCACGCATGCGCAGGCCCGATTATAGCGACAGTCCCGCTATTTCATACTCATGATGCGCCATGTTGGAGGTGGCGCTAAACGAGCGCCGTCTGAGCAGAGAGCCCCCCTATAACGCTGCGGCTATTTTAGACGTGATCGCTCGTCTCGTGCTCAGCTCCTCGCATCGGGGAGAGGCGCAACCCCATATTAACTGGAACTTGGCTCTCTTAGCCCTCGGGCTAAAAGTGGGCACAGTGAGTCCACAAGCCCAAGCCCAAGCCCCACCCCCAACCCCAACCCCATAAGCCTTAAAACCTCCCGAATTGCGGAAAGAGTCCGGTGCTAAAGTCAAGTCAACCTGGAAGCCCCCCGACTTAGCAACAAAGTAGGCCGCTCCGAGGAAGGCGTATCTGGTGTAAAGTCAGCCTTAACCGGGGTTAGTGTTAGTAGGCCCAGCGCTTTCCACGGTTTCCGATCTGGGTCAAGTCAACCTTCAAATCTGCACCCCCGGAGGCGGAGACGATCGAACGTTGGGAGTCAAAATGCTCCCTGGGAAAGTAGGCCTGACTGAAGATCAATGTTGGAATCCAAAGATCCGGAAAAGGATACGAGGGTCGAGCTTGGGGTTTCTAGAAGCATTGGGTGTGGGCTGTTGACACCTAATTTCGCAAAACTGCCATGTCCTCTTCGATAATGAACCAGATAATAACCAGATAATGATAAATTTATTCATGAAACGTCAGGGCAAGTATCGATGGAAACACATTTTCTTACAATTAGATGGCGAAAATCCGGGAAATTCTGGGAAAAGCACACCCGCGAACTTCCCATGTAAGGTAGTGGTCTGAACACTTAAAATAAAGAATAATTGTCCAGTTAAATGGTGTACCGACCATATTAGCAGCTTGCACTCCATCCCTCCCTTGCACCCTTCGAGAAGAACTCATAAAAAGAACCAACCTCTTTCCTCGGGGTCTTGTCTTCAAGAGTTGGTAACCTGTTTGAGCGCATGGAGCATGGAACTATCTCAAAATGCAATCCACCATCGTCCCACAATGGAGGAAGTCCTCGATATTTTGGATCGTCCTCACATTCTCGCATCTAGAAACTATGAACTTGCATTCCTAAATTTGGCTGAGAAATGGGACGGTCGCAGAGTTTCCAAGCCTGGAGTGCAAAACCTCAAGCACCGAGAACCACCTTTACTTCAGGTTTCAAAACAGCCCTTGAACTGAACTAAAGTCCGTCAGCTGCTAAGTCTGGACGCGAAATGTAATCTGCAGCGAATAGTATCGGAACAGAAGCAGGACCAGTGTCAAGTCAGTGACCAGTGAGTGACCAGTGACCAGTCCAGGCCTTGTCAAAGGGGGGCTAGGGGTAAAACACGACAGTACAGCTCAAAACAAGAAAAACAGCGAGGGCTCCAAAGGCACCCAGAACAAGCGCATTAGGTAAAAGTCGTTGTAAGCTTCCATGCGGGAATCGAGGACGTCATACCTGGATAGGAACAGAAAGCGTGGTCAGGATTGGAACCCACGCGAGAACGTAAAACAGGTGCTCTTCCAGCCAGTGAAAAACCCCATGGATAACATGGAACCAAAACCCTGAGACCTTGCTAAAAGTACGAGGAGCTGAAAGTGAGTTTGGTAAGTAGCAGTTGATCCTACAAACCAGGTACGGCTGCTGGAGTTCAACTCCTTGGTAACAGGAGAGCCAACATGTAGACGGTCAGAGATTTAACACATTTTGACTTGAGTTATGTCAATCCTAATCTCCTGCTTATGCTCATCTTAGCATGAGAAACAAATGTCAAACCCAAGTGGATTAGCACAGGCCAGGTCAGGATTGGAACCATCTCCAGCTTTGAAGTGGGTAAGCCGGGTACCCCAAAACAGCCGGAAGGCTTATGATGTGTCAATGTAACTCTGAGTCGACATGCCCGGGGGTTAAGAAGAACTTACTCGTGTCAGAGTAATCGTGCTCGGTCTTTAGTCAGCTGGATAAACACTCCCTGCTAGAGATCTCAAATACAGCTCGGTCCTAGAATTAAGCAGATCCGCTTCCGGGGTCGAGTTCTCACTCGGTTTTCCCGGTGACCTCCTCCAATCAGGTCGAGCTCAGGCTGGGGTCCAGAACCACGAGTTCTCAGCGTGGTGACAAACTTGTGTTGAGCTTGAGGTCAGGCTCGACGAGATTTGCCTCCAATGGAACGCTGCTCGCTCTGAGCTTGTGCCAAATGGACCCTCTGCGATCTGGGGATTGAGGAGAGGGGGCTAATGTTAGCTGCGAGGATAGCGGGGAGCTAGCCCCCGGGCCGGAGAGCGGAGAGTGTGTGTCGAGTTGGAGAGCTGGAGGAGTGTGTCGTCGTCTCTCACGATGCAACAGGCTCGAGAGTGCACTCGGGACGGGGAATTCGTGGACCCAAAGTTAGCCCATGGAAGGGTGACAAGTTGGCGGGGCTGTGCTCTTTCCAGGGGAGCACAAGGTGGTTGGTGGAGAAAAGCTAATTTTATGACACCGCAGTAATTTGGCACCAATGAGCGCGAGCTTTACTTGAACCCGTGCTTATCTACGCAGCAACATTCCGATCTATGGGCTGTCGAGTAAGAAAGAGAAGGGAGGCAACTTTTTGTGGCGAAGTTCAAACTCGAGTCGGGGCTCTCGCCTAAGCACAACACTCATTGCTTAGTGGGGTGGGGGTAACTTTAATGCGAGGTCGTTCTCATCCTCTAAGATGGCCGGCCACTCATGGCCTCCTAAGGGGCTAAGGCAGGGGCTAAGCGCCGGGGCTGCTTTTCTGCTCGTCGTCCGCAACACCAGAAGAAATTACTCATCATTCGCAGTAATTATTCTTCCTTGGCCCCCTCCAGACAATAGTCACTCATTGCAAGGCAGTTAAATTTGGCTTCAGTCTCTCCTGAGTCCTGATCTAGAATCTCTGCATCCCACGTGAAGGGCCAACGAAGGTGTGATCTCATAGGGCGTGTGGGAACATTAGCAATGCCGATGGACTGAATGGAGTGTAGGCGTTGGCGTTGGCGTTGGTTGACAAGCGCAGGCTCAAATCTGCAGATTCTGCATGCCCCCCTTCACATGCCCATATCTTTCTCTCTCTCTCTCTCTCTCTTGCCCTTGTCTCCCTCCGATCATCGTCCTCCTCAGGCGTGTCAGATGAATCTGCTCGCTCCTTCGCTCGCTCATATGCACACTCCTTCTCTCTCCTCCGCCTGCGTTCTCTGTTTGCTCTCTCGAGCCGAGGGCATTGATGAGGTTTCTCCCCGGGACTCAAGCCCCGATGCAGCTGGAGCGTTGGACTCATCCTAACTATAGTTAATCGGCCTGGACCGGCACTCATGACCGGTGGCGAGGGGGGAGGGCCGAGGGGGCTAGCAGCCTAGGCCCCGGGGGGGTGGGCTTCGGATTGGCTCGGGGGCTGGGCTTGGCAAGCGGGGCTGGGCCGCGGATGGGAACTATAGTTAGGCAGACATGCGGCCATTACACCGCAGAATGACTCCAGATGCTGAGGGTTTTGTGATGGGGCCCAATGCATGACATGTCTCCGGTGGTCCAGTGTCTTGAAAAGCGAGGGTTAAGTAGGCAGGCAGCAATAACACCCAGATTTGATTCCAGAGGCTTTCTCATTCGCTGCCAGGGAATCGTTGTGCAGCAGAAAGTCATGAATAATGTGCCTGAGCAGTCCCGTTCCCGAGACCGGTCTGACCGAAGCCCATGGGCTGCTCATCTGCTGCTCGTCTGTTCATGAGGAACAACGAAGCGGAGGAGCAGCTCCAGTGGCACTCACTTCGTCCCTCACTCGAGCACTGGTGCTGGGGCTGGGGCTGGTGCCGGGGGCTTGTGGGCCTTGTGGTGGCTCGTTATGAATGGGGAGCGGATCATTCGAACCCTACCCCGATACTAACCAGAGTTTCCGAGGCAGCCAGCACTCGAGAGTCGAGTAGCGCGCATTTCATTCGAGTGCAGGGCATCAATTCAGCTGCACCAGCAAGTCATGCATGAATCATTTGGCAGCGCTGGATCGCTCCATTGGCCTATCGAGTCGTGCGACACTCTCAAACCGAAAGCTCAGTGAAGAAGGCAGAACTCCCACCCAGAGAGAATGTGAGAGATGTGAGAGCCTTATTTGGCAGCAGAGAATATCATCTGCCAGCAGAAGCAGCAGCAGCTGCAGTATTGTCATGAATCATGTGCATCAAAGAAAAATCCCATCCCGAGATGACCACCACACCACACCCCCATCGAGCCGCTAATCTCACCAGTGGCCCCCTCATCAGAGCCATGGTTTCGACGACCGGCCATCAGACGCAGCGACTGCATTAATTCTCAGCTCCACGAAAATGACAGCGAAGCCCATGTGAACTGAACTGAGCTGATCTGAACTGATTTGAACTGAAGAGAAGTGTGAGCTGAGCTGAAAGGAACGGGAGAGAGAATTGAAATTGGCCACGGGCCATGGGCCATGGGCCAGCAGGATCGGTTGGTCACTCACACGACCCGACCAGGTATGGGGTTACGTAACTGACCGGAGGACTAGCGCGGGGGAGGAGAGGCATGAATATGTCCAAAGCTCTGGCGAGAGGGCGAGAGGGCGAGGGGGACGGGGATGGAAAAGCCGACATCACAACGGCTCGGCTCAAAAAGCCAACGATCTTCTCCTCTGAAGACGTGCATAGTAACGCAAGCTGATCCCAAACCTCTTGCATTATTGAGTCCGTAGGGAATCGTTTTCTGACTCAGGGCCCCACTGCTGCTGCTGCTGCCCTCCTTGGGGTGGGACACTCGGTGCTAGGATATGGCATTGACATCTTCAGACCCGGGAGACTCAGACTCAGCAGCAGCACATGATCACCGGGGGGTTCAATTTGTGGGAAGAAAGGCAGCGACGGGCCAGAGCATCCCCCTCCCCCGTCTCGTTCCTCCTCGGGGCCTCGTCCTCCTCGCCCTCGCCATGAGCTCCAGCTTTTCCTTTCCTCGTCAGGACATAAAGAGCGAATTCGCAGCTATAACTGCTTTCTCAGAAGCATGCATATGATGAGCAGAAGGGGAACTCAAGGGACCCCCCGCACCTCGTTTTCAATCCAGGGTATGTCAAGGCCCCCCCATGCCCATCCATGCCCGTCAGCCCGGCCTGCCCCCACCCCCTCCCCGCTCCCCGCTCCCCCCTCGGCCAAAGTCGCGCCGAAGCGGGACATTCGACTCACCGAGTAAAGGATGAACAGACATTCCATCTACCCCCAGCCAACCCCCCGACTGAATGAGACGAGTTGGTCCCTGCGCTCCTCACAGGCTCACGGGCTTACAGGCCCAGCCCCGCCCAGAGTCCAAGCCCATTCGCTGGAGGAGGAGGAGGAGGAGGGCGTATGGCACACGACGGTACGTTTCGGCCCTCCTGGATTACGGGGCTTGCTCTCACAATCCCACACTCGCCCGGAGGAGATCGGGGAGAGAGAGTAGCAATCATGCGCTCGGCGACTTCATAAATAAAACGCGAAACGAACCAGCTCTCGAGCCTCGCTCGCCTGGACTCTCGATTTCACGCATTCGAGCGACTTCTGAGGCGTGCCCCGGTACCTCGAGCGTGTGCTTGTACTTGGGTTCGAAGAGGAGAGTGTGACATCTCCCCAGCCCCCAGCCCCCAGCCCCCCGCTCACACGCAGCCATCCCCACGAGTCTGAAACCTTTCCACAGATCGCAAGAGCAAACAGAAATCCGAGACAACTGCTTACGATTTCTGAGACGCTAACAAGCCCAGGCCCAGGCCCAAGCCCAAGCCTGAAGGCTCTGCTGAGAACGCCAATTCAAGCAGATCCACTGGAATTGCACGCATATCGGTCGATTCCATGGGGGACCGAATTCCTCGCACCGCGAGGGAATTTCTGAGCCGGGGGAGAAGCTCCTCTCTCGCGCGCAGAAATCGCAGCCTCCAATCGTCGACAGGCCGTTAGTTAGGAAGAGGGCGAAATCTCCGGATCATTCCAGAGAGGGGGCGACGGGGTTGCGAGTCACATGGACCCGACTCTGACAGAGTCGTCGAGAGCTCGAGTCCGTATGATTGTACCGCGGTACAAGAGCGAGGCCGATCGGTCTCGGATCATGAACACCGAGTACGAGCGCTGGCCCGGAGACACGTCGAGCATGCATTGGGCGGAGGACTTGGGTCATCCGCTCGCAGCTGCGTGTCATGGGTCAATCAGCAGTTCGCAGTCGCTCGCAACAGATTAGAGGGGCCTAACTGAAATAACAACTCGGGCGAGCGCAATGACCACACAGACGCAACGAGGACCGGATCCCGATTCTCGATCATAATCAGCAGCATCCACGACGAGGACGGACAGGAGAGCGACAATCATCAACCAGAGAGATGGAGAGATGGAGAGATGGAAAACAGAGAGAGCCATGATCGATGTCTTACGAATTCCAGCCATTGACATGGCTTCGTTATTATTAGTACAATGATTGATAAACAATGTTCAAGGCCTTCCATATAAAGAGCAAGTCCCTGATCGCGCGCGCGCTCTCTCTCTCTCTCTCGCTCACTCACTCTCGCTCTCTCGCTCGCTCTCTCTATCTCTTGATTCTCTCGTTGAGAATGCAAGTAGTCATCTCTCCTGCTGCAGCTGGGCCAGCAGCGCTGGCCAGCAGCAACTGCTGTGATCTTGGTCCTATCCCTATAGCCTGCTTTCTTCTTTAAAAGGGTCCGTCCACGAGCCATGAAAAGCAGCCGCCGATGCTGAGATTATCCCCACAAAGGTAACCTGGACACCGAAGAAAATTCCTATATATCTGCCGCTCTCCGGCTGCAGTTGATTTAAAGAGTGAAGAAACTGACTAGTCCGCTCCGGGCTGCAGGCCCGCGCGCCATCTAAAGGCGGCGCGGGGGGCAGCCGGATTCATGTTGTATCGATACCTCAGGAATGCTCAGGTGGTTGTTGCAGTACTCATTATTCTCTCAGAACCCATCGAGCTCTATACTAGGAGCTGGAAAATTGCAAGAAACAGCGACCCGACTCGCGGCCGTCGGGAGAGGCCACGAGGTTATTGCTCCTTGAGTGCTCGCTCGCATTCTACATGGCTGATTACCTTCTTCTGTACATCCGCCTCCGCTCACACGCTGGCGCGCCCCAGAGGTGATTGCGATGATCGAGAAAATTTCCGGCTACGGGCTTCTTTAGCCTCTACAGCGCCTGCCATATTACACTTCTACGGTTCCCCCCGCGGAACCTTTATGGTTTTTTTGGGTGTTTTTGAGAGATGTAAGGTCGTCGTGAAGCGTGCGCTTCAATCCGTCTGGTCGATCTCCTGCTCCTTCCCCACTTTGTACATCAAAAAACGTCACTTGCAGCGGCCGGTCGTGCATCCACCGTCGTCGTCATACGATCGCAATTCCATTCTGAATCCCCAAAAAGCCCTCTCGGCAACAACCATGTATCAGGTACCAGTTCCCGTCACCCGGCATCCGTTCGCTACACCCTGTCTTCCCATTTGTACAATACATATTACACACAAAATTCATGATTCCCTGCAAAACGGCCCTTCCTCATGCCTCCTGAGACCCGGAGACCGCCGATTCCGTCGACGCGCTCGCTCATCGCTGGCTCACTCGCTCTCTCGCTCGCTCGCTTGCTTTCTCGCTTTCTCGCTTGCTTGGATCGATCACTCGATCGACCGCGCGGCGGCCCCGATCAAGCTGCGGCCGCCGTGCCCGCGCCCACCACTCTGTTCCGCTGGCTGCTGTGTCGCGACGCATCGGCCCCTCCGATTCTCATGGCCGCCTGCGAGCACCCCTCGGGCTGCTGCTCGTCCATGACGATCTGCTGGTGGCGGCATTCGGGACTGCAGAAGGCTCTGTCACCCCTGAAACCACCAAAGCAACGATGCAAGCACTCGGTCAGCCCACGATCCCTCGTTCAATCCAATCAATCCGTCCCAGACAACACTGACACAATCCGGACTCGACTCGACTCGACTCAGACTGCGATGGAACGAGAAAATACGAGACGGAAAGGAGGCGCGGGGAATGCAATGTGCAACTCACATGTAGATGTAGATATCGCGGCCTTCGCCCAGGCGACGCTTGCAGCAGAAGCACGCGTCCAAGAAGTTCAAACCGGCCGACAGCGTCGGGAGGAACGAGGGCTGCCGGGGCTGGGGCTGGGGCTGAAGCTGAAGCTGAAGCTGCTGCTGGTGGTGGTGATGGTGATGGTGCCGCTGCCTTGGGACAAGGGGCGCAGGGGCTACGGGAGTCACGGCCTCGACGTCCATGTCCGCTTGCTGCGACCACGCGGCGAGCATGGCCACGGGAGCGCCGTGGCTGACCCGCGCCGAGGGCCCGACGCCTCTGAGCCCGTGGGCCAGGGCGTGGGCTTGGGCTTGGGCTTGAGAGTGCGCGTGGCTGCTGGTGCTGCTGCTAGTGCTGATGATGTCCTGCATCATGGATTCTTGCATCGCGGACGACAATCCGAATTGCGGGGCGCAATTTTGCGAGTACCGGTGCGACGAAGGGCAATGATGAGACGCAGGCGAATTGGCCCCGGGCGAGTGGATGGGGATGGGGGGGCTGGTCTTGACGACGGGGGCAAACGACGGCAGATGCTGCGGCGACACCTTCCTCGAGTAGGCAGGCACCGGGGGGAAGTCGGCTCGCCCCTTGCTGATGGAGGCCGGGGTGAGGTTCAGATTGTTGGCGGCGGCGGGGGCAGCGTTAGCCCCGCAGTCTTCTTGGGCCGCAGAGCCCAGCGCTGCGACGATGCCGAGCCCCACGCCCTCGGCGTCGCGCCGCTCCCAGGGGCGCGAGCTGGCCAGCAGGTCGCCGAGGCCGGAGCGCGGCGATCCCGTGGATCCGGTGGGCGACTTGACTTGCTGCGGGCGGGGCGAGGTCGGAGGCAGCGTCAGATGGTGCTCCTCTTGGATGAACACCTTGGGGTGGAATCCGATCACCTGCCGCGGCGGGCTGGCCGTGGGCGCGGGGCAGGCGATGGCGCTGCCGATGTTGGCCGATTTTTGCTTCTCCTTGGGCTGCTCGGGGAGCGGCGAGCAGTCGCCGGTCGTCATGGATCCGGACTTGATGTTGGAAACGCTGGCAATTCTCCTCATGGTGTGACGAGGGCGCTTTCCAGGCATATCTCTGTCACCGGCCCGAGCACTCCACTCCTACTGCGCTATGGTGAGAGCCCTCTCGCGTCCCGTCGAGGTACGAGGCCTGCGACCTCGTGTCCGGCACCGGCACTGGCAATGGCACTGGCAATGGCACTGGCCTCCGACTGCAACTGCGATGCTACGCTCGACTCGATTCGTCTCGATTCGCTGGACCTTATGTTAGGAAACCTGGCCCATTCCTCTGCTGAGATCCTGAATGTGCAACAACGAACTAATGCTACTCCCAAGAATTTCTTAAGTGTGTTGTGTATTCGATAATCTCCGACTCACTCTCTTCTCACTCGCTCGCTAATCTCTCTCCTCGCTATCCTCTCTCACGAAATGTCTCCTTCAGAAAAGTTCCAAATGCACTGTGTGAAGTTGTGGTGTCAAAGCTGCTCCCGCATCGGGCTTCTCTCACCTTCCGCACTACGACACCGAGCAACACTCCACCAATTCTAGACTCTGAACCACACCTCACGCCACTCCACACAGAAGCAGTGAGGCCGTCACGTACTGCACCCACCCACTCGCTCCGCACACTCTGACGACGAAACCGTCACACTGGAATACTTCTTCTTCTCCTTCTCCTTCTTCTGCTTCTTCTGCTTCTTCGGAAAGCTCTTACTGTAGTAGGACGATGAACCAGGCTCACTCTCGACCGAGTGCTCCTCTAAAAATCGCTCGGCAGGACAAAACACACGCTCGGGATCGGTCACACGCGCTGTAACACCGAAAGCCAAAAAATCTATCTGCCACAAAGCTCCTCCGAACCAAAACTATGAATCGCTCGATCTTCTTCCGACCGCAACACCTCCGAAGACTAATACACCCTTCTCACAAAACTGGACGGATGATGGCTCGATGAAGTGCGCTGCTCGTCGACTTCCTTCCACTTCCCTCCCTCCTTCCTGCCTGCTTGCCTTCCTTGCTTCCTTCTTTCCTTCCTTGCTTGCTTGCTTGTGCCTGCTTGCCTGCGTGCCTGGCTTCCAGCCTCTCGACCGAGCGTCGGAGCAATCGTCCCAATCCCGACGACGAAACTCCGCGCAACGATGGACTCCGCAGCAAGTGCGTCGATGGGGTGAAGATCGCCACGCCAAGATCGAGCTCGCTCCGAAACAAGCACGGGGCCCGGAGAGGGAGAGAGGGAGAGAGGGCGAAGGGACGAAAGAGGATAGAACGAGGCGGATGACGAATGTGAGAGCGGGCGGGGAATTGACTTCTTCGAAGAATGTGGTGGTGAGTCGGTCGAAGAGGAACCTCGAGACTGCTGGCCGGAGCAGCAAAGGAAGCAGCAGAGAGAGAGAGATGCAGAATGCCTCTCGCGCGGATGATGAGGAGCTGAAGTTCAGTTCTGACTGCTTCGCTCGCTTGCTTGCTTGCTCGCAGCTGCCAGCGACAGCTCTCTCAAGGACTCAGAGAGAAAGGGGCACCGAGAGAGGAAGAAGAGGCGAGAGGGGGAAGGGGCTTGAGGAGGGGGCTCTCGGGGGCTCGGGGAGGGAGGGAGGGACGTAGGAGAGGTGAGCGAAGAGGGGGGGAGAGCAGGAGGTCGGGCTCCCCAAATAAAGGCCCTGACCCCGGGTCCCGCAAACTAACTCGGGTCAGCCATGTGCCCGCGCTCGGCCCGTCGCCGCCCGACGCGTGGGCACAGTTAGTTCGGGGCTCCGACCCCGTCTCGCCTTCGCTTCTCCTTTAACGCCTCCCAGTCATCCGGTCACGAGGAGATTCCTTTCGGTCGCGGACCGTGGGTACCTCCTCCTTTCACGCACCCCGCCTGTCCCTCTGAACCACCGGATTGCTCAGTACCAGATTTTTACCGCAGCCCCTGTCGCCCATATTTTATTTGCCTTTCCCCCTGAGCCCTCATTATTATTACCAGACCGGGAATATTTTGTACGGTCGTCAATCCATCGGTCATCCCTCGTCGTGCTTTATCATATACTCCCCGAATCGTTGAACTTACGAGCCAATTATTACCCCCTAGTGAAAGTAGCCGATTTCTAGAATTGCCGGAAATTATCCTTCCACTTCTTAATGAGCCCCAGCCCCTCCCCCCCTCTCTCTCTCCCCGCAGCTGCTTGTGCCAGACGCTCCTGCGCTTTCCCCTTCCTTTTCTCGGACTCACGCCCCCTCGGACTTCCTCGGACGCTCAGAGCCCCTCGCCCCCCCACCCCCACCCCCCTCCTGCCCTGCCCAGTTCTGCCCTCCCCCCTCCTCCCCCCTCCTCCTCCTCCTCCCTCATGCCAACCAACGAATTAACGGACGAACGGAAGCGAAGGTCGTCGTCGACGGAACCAGACTCCAGAGAGCATCTTGTACTGGCCTGCGGCGCGCCGTAGACGTGGCGCGCAGTCAAACAGGTTGACAGAGAGTAACCGAGATCCAGGTGTCGACCCCAGGAGCCGCGCAAGTCGGAAGTGACCGCCGGGGCGAGGACACGTGGACCCGGGTAAATTGGTCAAAACAGTGGAATCACTGCTCCTCGTACAAGTTACCTCCACCTTTAATCATGATCATCGCCTCTGAGCCCCCGATGGCTTACCCCATAAGCCTTCCATAAACCCATCCCCAGCCCCGGCCTAGGCGATCCGATGGCTGGGGGCTGCCTTGCCCCTCCCGTCCCTGACCTGCCCATGGCGGAATTCCGAAGAAAGGCCGGTGGCGACGTTTTCACCATCCACCTCGTTTGAGTGCTAGCTAGTCCCATCGAATCGATCGCTCGATCTGAACTAACCCCCGCCTGCTAATTCCGTTTTTCGCACGTTATTTCGAATCCTCCCGATTATGCTTCCATGAAGCAAACTCCGATCCGCCCCGAGGCCCTTACGTGTAAGTGTGCCCAAGACTTTCCCACCGCAACGACGACCCAGGGGGCTCATGAATCCAAAAGTTCGCTCTCCTCCTCCTCCTCCTCCTCCTCGCCTTCCTTTTTTCGCGTCCCAATCTTCTTTCGCTTGTCTTTTCGCTGGAGAGATTGGATTGCTCGGATTGGTCCGGTTTGTTTTTGTTTTGATTTCCGGTTGTACATTAGTTGGAAGGTGTAAAGGGCTTATGTAAAGGGCTTACGCTCCATTTACCCCCTGCTTTGTACCGATTGCACTCTACGCTTCGCTGAACATGATAAGTATCGTAAAATGAAGCCCTTTTTGGTTGACAAACAGCCCAAACTCCGCATCGAAAAGCATGAGGCTCGCTCAACTTGACGTGCATGTAACCGTCATAGATTCTTCGACGAAAAGCTGAAACGTCAGTGCGAGACAACCTTCTGAAAGGCGAGGCACATTTGATATTCCAGAGGCCACTATGCTCCTTCCAAAATCTGCCATTTTGGGTTTTTTCTCGAGGCATGATGTCTGGAATCTTTTCTTGCCCATGGACCTTGATAGATTTTCAAGATCACCATCAGACTGAGTGCACAAGAGGGACTCTCTTGGATTCCAATTTCGCATAATCAGTTCACATTCTTGCGCTTTCCAGTATGTCTTTTTCCTCATCATAATTTCTTCTGCATTTTCCTTTTGGAAGTATTTCTTTCCAACATTTAAGAAGTATACTTACTCCCCTCGTAGCGGAATCGAATACTTAAATGAAATGATTTTTTTCTACAAAAACACAACTTAAGTGAGGACTTCAAGTTTCTACATCATAAAATGAAAATTACAATCTATGATAAAATTGATGTATATTAATCGTGTACTTAGGTTCCCTTCATGAAATGGCACAAAGTGATTTACGATCATCTATGTGTTCCTCAACATTCGTGTCTGGTTGGACTATAGGTCTGTTCACTGAAAATCAATATAGTGGCGGGAAAGGATGCGTGAATGATTCTCCTTGTCGCTTTAATAGAAATTGCCATTGCAAACTGTCAATTTTTACAATTTACAATAATTCCTTCTCGTCATTCACATCCCATTTATCGAATGCTCTTAGTCATACAATATTATGACCGACATTGCTTATTTTAATGAGGATCGTCGAAAAAAAATACCATCTTACATAATAACGTATATGTACCTATCCAACATCTATTTCCAACGTTTGTGTTGCATATTCAGGCAGTCACATGAAGGCCCTGTTGAAATGATAATGATCGACAGAATGTGCAAAGCTGTGATGCGAGCGAGTCATGATTCGGGGAAATTTATTTGGACTCGGATTTAAATAAATGTAAATGAACTTAGCACTGAAATAACATAGTTGAATAAAATGACGTTTTATAAGAAATTTTGTAAGCTTCTGTCAAAATAATAAAAAAACAATCACACTTGTTTAAAAAGTCTGTTAACCAAGAAACTGAAGAAATAGAACACAACATAAATTTCGTTTTTGTTGCCCTCGTTCAGTTTCATTGAGAAAATAATAAATATTTTTTACGTATCATGCAAGTTTTAAATTAAGATGAACACAGACACAACCTCTATCACCATAAGCAGAAACACATGTTTTTTTACTGTAATACATTTTTATGTTATGCGAAAATTATTTATCTTCATCTCATGAAATAAACTATACTAATTCATTTTTTCGAAGTGCTCGTTACATTGTTCGATCTGCTCATTGACTATGAACAAATACGTGCACCATTTTATCATTCTTGTAACATTTTTTTATATAAATTGTAACCATTTTAACATTGTAAACCTGCTCCACGTTCCCTTTGAGCATGCGATGGGCCACATTTCCTCTAAGGCTTGAATTTATTTCAGCTAAATTTATCTATCGCTTTTGAATAAGATTGTTTTTTATCTGATAATTGTCAAAGAACTTTACACCTTAAATTTATTAGTAAGTGGTAAATACTGAAAATGCTGAACATATGTGCTAATTGATCTCTAGGTATAAAAGATCGTGGACTCTTGGACTGGTGTCAAAACATAGCACACTGTAAACGTGATGTGGTAAAAATGGCTGTGCTGGTCGAAAAGCTGCAGACATCCGGTGCTGATCAAGGATTATGAACGAGGCAGAAGGATGACAGAAGAATTGCTTCGCTTGAAAAGAGCTCAGCTGATGTGAGGATGACACCAGCCAAATGATGGTGCAAACGGTTTGAGACCTACAGAGAGGGCGAGATAAGATCATCACCAGGATATTATGCTTAATTAATTAAATATTTGCACATAATTTAATGTCTCAGCTTTTGATGGTTATGCGTCATCCCCGATCTGCTCTAGTATTAGGCACCTTGAGAGAACACAACAAAGTCAAGGCCCAATTATAAAAATATTCCCATTATCTTCTCTTCTAATGGAACGATGGTATGTGTCAATATACATTTAAGAAAAGAACATTAGTTTTTCTAAATGAGAATAGGCACACCTGATTTGATTTTTTGAAAAATAGAATCTTTTTTAGTTCCAAGCTTTTGAGAAAGAAGCCCACTCCGGCTAAATTGTTTTTTACGAAATTGGACAGCCATGTTTTTTATTAAGTACCATGATTATTTTCATAGGGCTGCTCTGCGAAAAAAGGTGGAAATGCGAAGACAACGTAGGCAAGAATTTCTCGGTCGAGACGGACGGGAACCGTCGGAGGAGAAGGCATGGGGACGGAGCGAGGGGTCGGTGGGATATTCGAAGGTGTGAGGGACGCGACGTCGCTCTGTCCACCGGTCGGCGTTTCTTCTTGGCCCCGACATCGATATTCCGGCCAAGGGGTCTCGGAAAGTGGTCGACGACGGCCAGGTCCACCGGATGACGTCGCCGTGAGCGTCGCAGCCATCAATCCGTCCGGTGGGGGCCTCCTCGTGGCCCTCGGCTGCCAGCCCTCTGTCGCCTAGACGACGTAGAACGACGGCGACGAGACGAGACGCAGACGCAGGCCCAAGCCCAAGCCCGACGACGACGACGACGACGGTCAGTCTGTCCTACAAAGGGATCTGGATCCCAGGATCGGATGGTGGCAGAAGCACTCGGAACCCCGCCGCTGCCCCGCATCGACCCCTTAATCCCGATGGAAGGAATGCGCTAACGAAGCCCCAGGTGGTTAGCATGTCGCACTTATTGCGTAATGGCGTCACATCCTCACCTCGCCCCCGCAAGCCCCCACAACTGAAAAGCGAATGATACGTTCGTCGGACTGTAGTTGCAGATCGGATTCACGCCCCGGTTTCCGTTCCGGGGTTCGTTTGGCCCCTAACTCACTTAATTAATGTTTGATTACGGAACGAACTGAGGAGAACTGATGGCGCTAGGCCCTCACCGGCCCACGAGACGGGAGCCGAAGGAAGGAAGGAAGGAAGGAAGGAAGGAGGGAGGCGCATCGAGAACGGGGGAAGGGAGTGGCGACGGGGTGCTTGGGAGTCTGTGCGAGGGAAGGGGGTGGGGCTGGCTGGCGCTAGTGCCTGGCCCAGTCGGGTCCGGTGGTTTGATTGGTGGCTGTGCGAGGAAGGCTGTATTCTATTCGGGGGTGGGGGATGATTCACCGAGAGGGGCTTGTGGGGCTATGTTGGAAAAAGAGCGCTTAGACAAGCAAAGCTTGGGCGATTCCGGTTGGGGCCCGGGCCCCCCTCCTGCT